GATGATGGGAGAAATTTCAGCAAAGGGAAGCACTCGCGGGAGCTGTCCTATGCTCACGCAGCGGAGAACATCTGCAGGAAACATCTGGATCCTCGATTAATAACTAAAGACTCACCTAACCCTCATGGATCAATGGAAATTTCTCAAATGGCATGTCAATGTTTAGAACGACGGAGGAAGAAGAGGCCTCCCATGACAGAAGTAAGAGAATCTATTCAAATGCTATTTGTTTGTAATAAGTTATTTTAAATAGAATAAAATATTTCACAATATTACTGTATTTCTGATCAAATAAATGCAGCCTTGGTGAGCAGAAGAGACTTATTTCAAAAACATGAATTAGATTTTAATTACTCCAAACTTTGAATTTTTTGAATGGGAAGTAGTCACAAAATATTTTTTCAATAAATTATGACTTTCTGGCTAACAATTGGACTTCTTTTTTTTTTAGAAACAATAATAACCATTCAAAATAATATGTTTTAGTTAGAATTATGAGGCTTATTCTGGCTCTATTGGTGTTTTATAGGTGTTCAAAGCACTTCAAGATGTGCATTCAGGGTTGAAGACCTCTGGCAGGTCGACCATGGTCAGAATATCTCCTGTATCATCTCATCCATCCACCCCTGAGCCTCTGCGCTCCGACAACCGCTCCCTGGACTCTCTCGCCCATCAATTCTCCAAACTCCACCCTCAAGAGAACACATACCCCTGCCTTCACAAGCCTATCTTTCCCACCTTGGCCTCTGAAATGAGTAACTGCTCAGAGTTGAATCCTGAATCATGGGCTTCACAGTCCTCTGGCATGCCATGTGAATCTGATGAGAGTCAAGGCTTTTCTCAGTACTTGACAAGTCACTGTAGCAGACCTCAGTCGACGTCATGTGGGGCCTGTGGTGTTCAGAGCAGATCTTTAGAGGAAAACCCATCACAGTCCAGTCCGAATGAAGGTAATATTTGCTAAACCGATAGATTAGGAACATCATAAATATTTAAATAAGCATTTTTCTGATTGTATGTTATTTATGTATGTATTATATCTTTCTGCTTGTCCCGGTTTCATTCTCTGTCTGAATCTTTACAGATTTTTCTGACCAGAAATTGTTTATCAACCCTGTGAGGCAGCGACTGGTCGAGAAAATTGAGCTTTATGAAGAGGGGAGGATTTTAACTTCTGATCTGCTATCATCAGGAGAATCGTTATGTAAGTGTCCAAATCAATTGCAAATGGATTCCACAACTGTATACAAACAAATGTTTGGTGGGGACAGTTCTGGGTTCTTCAGGCAAGACAAGAAGCTGCTTTAAGGTGGAATTTCATTCAAGCTGAGCTGATAATGACCCATATAGTCATGGATGCTGGTTATCATGAATGCATCTGTTTGATCGGTACTTTGAATGCATCACAAAGATCACAAATGGCCATTTTATAACTTTTTTTAACATTTTATAAAGCGCTACTGTAGTGACAAATATAAGGCCGAATACAAGACCCCCCTTATCTAACCAAGCCCAGTAAGCAATAGACACATTTTGTATGTATTATTTGAATGCTTTCAACAAACTGATACACGTCCAACAAATACAATTGAACAAAATATATACTCTGTATGTATAAACTCAGCAAAAAAGAAACGTCCCTTTTTTAGGATACTGTATTTTAAATATAATTTTGTAAAATCCAAAGAAACTTTACTGACCATTAATGAATGAACCATAAACAATTGCACCTGTGGAAAAGTCCTTAAGACTCTAAGAGTTTACAGAGGTTAGGCAGTTACGGTCACAGTTCTAACTTGGGACACTAAAGAAACCTTTCTACTGAATGTGGAAAAACACCAGGAGAATGATGGCTAGGGTCCCTGATCACCTGCGTGAACATGCCATAGTCCTGCTGCAGGAGACATGAGGACTACAGATGTGAACAGAGCAATAAACCCCAATGTCTGTAATGTAAGACACAGTGCTACAGGGAGAAAGGAAGGACAGCTGATCGTCCTCCTAGTGCCAAGCCACATGTACAAAATATCTTCATGGAACATGATCTTTACTTAATATCCTAATGATTTTTGGCATAAAAGTAAAATCGATAATTTTGACCCATACAATGGCTTTTGCCACAAATATACCCATGCGACTTATGACTGGTTTTGTGATCCAGAGTCACATATTTGATATTTTCTAGAGACTCATTATTGCATTTCTGTTTGTCAAATGTCTGAAATTTGTTCAGTTTATGTCTGTTGAATATTTTTATGGTTATACAAATATTTACATGGGGAATTTTTGATGGGGAAACGATGGACGTTTCTTTTTTTTTTTGGTGTATGTTTGTGTGGAGCTACATGTTTATTAAAGCCACAAATATTTAATCATCATAATTTTCATTAGCATTAACAAACATTATTCAGTGCATAACAGATTAGTTCTGCAGAGATGATTTAAGGCTTCTTGTCTGAAGAACTCAGTGTAGTTTCTTGTTGTAACATTTATAATAATTTAATCTACAAAACAAATGCAAGTTACTTAATATTGAGTTAAAAAGATGGAAGAGGTTCTTTCCAAAATGTGTTGAGACAATTTTTTGTGCTTATAGAAGTTACCTGTTTAATTGAATTGAAATAATATATATTTATTTTTTCATTATTTTGTAGACCGAGGGATGAGTGCTCAAACAAGGGAGCCAGAAGAGAGTGATGAGTTTGCAAGTGAGACATCTGGAATCAACATGCAGTCACCGGCTGCAGTTTAACACTGGATGTTTGGAAGAAAGCGCCCAACAATTGTTAAAATATTATACAAAATATTCATGCATTTCTTTATGGTACTTTTTTTACGGTTATGGTAGAGAAATTACCTCCATAAATACCTCGGCCAAAGGTATTTTTTATTTATGGTAATAGAAAGTAAAAAGTGGTACGGATAGTGAAAGCTCTGAAGTTGTGAACCTGTGAATCTTGAATGACAAGTTAGATGGAAAGATATAAAAGTGCATAATTTATTGTTATACGCCTGTTATTTTGGCGATCTAATGTCTGTCTGTTGTTTTTGGCTTAGTTCTCAGAGGCAAATGGCTTTTTATAGCATATTTGCTATTTTTATGGTACTAACTTGTGCTTGTTGTACAAATTGAATTAAACATTTAGCCTGTGCAGTTTTCATTATGCACATTTTATTTTTAATTGTCTGCAAACCTACAGCAATAAAATAACAGCTTTATTTGAAACATAGCATATGTTTCCATCAGAGGCCATATTCAATATTTCTACATTTAGCCCATTGCTTTTTAAAGATCCATTTTCAAAACTGCCAAAAAGCTTTTGATTCGCACTCTTAATTTTTGCTTATGTTATTGTTTATTGTAAACACTGACTTGTAAAATGTTTTTACTTGAAAAATTGTTTCAGATGCATGTTTTGAAATCTGTTGTTTTGATATTTTAGATCATTTATCAAAACTGGGTTTTTGTGAATGGAATATAACTTTTATGCGTGTTGGTAAGAGTTGTATAAGCATATTTACATTAATTATATTATTATTAGATCATTTTTTCATGCAGAGATCATGAATATTTGAGAAATCATTACGTTAGATTTACTGGAAAAATGACTCTTTTTACCGTAGTTTGTTACATTATACAAATATATATATTTTTTACCTTATTTCTGTATGTATATATTCTATAATAGATGTTTCTATGTCCCAAGGGTTGGTTTTTTATTAAAACCAACAAATTTTCACCTTTTTATTTTTATTATATGAAGATCACATTAAAGATCAAAAAACTTGCTAAGTTTTTTCCCTTCATTTTTTTTTGCTCACTTTTCCCAGACCAAAACTTTCAATCTGAAACACAAAATATTTACATGTTTAAACCTAAACATAGTGAAATAAAACATTTCAATATTTATGTGAAAATTATTAATGTATATATTTTTTTAAAGATTAGATATACAGATTATGTATGTATTTAGATAGATTAATTTATATTTTACATTCTTACGCTTTTTTACTTTATTGACTTTGCTCAAGTAAATACATTAAAAACATGTGTGAAGAAAATTGACAATTCAAGGTAAATATCACTTGTGGGTAGAATATGTTTTGCACGTGTGCAATCAAGCAGTAATTTTGTCAAATTGTGCAAAAAGACAACAGGGCATTGCTGTGAAAAAAACCTAAACATGTAAATTCAAATTCAAAATATAATTAAAGTTTTACAACACTATAAAATGTATGGTATTTGGGTGTAAACTAGTAATCTATTCCAGATTGCAGAGCATATAGTTGATGAGTGAAAGGAATGTGATGGTAGAATTTTTTTATTGAACAAAATATATAATGGCATTCATAAGTGCCAAATAAATAAGCAAGGCACACCAATACAATTTGGGAAAACAATGTACAAATTAACAAAGAGGGATCTTTTCATTCATCTTCCAAAAAATGTGTCTCTTATCTTCCCAGCAAATTTGCAGGCCGGTTTACTATTCATATCCTATATGATAGAACATTGTTACAAAGATGATGTTTAAACACAGAGAAATACAGTTTTGTCTTCATACACATTAAATTTATGGATAAAGAATTTACTCAAAATCAACATTACTTTAAGGAAAATATGCTGCTTTTTTGTCATCCAACAACATTCCAAACACAATTTGGTTGGTTTCTAAAAAAAGTAGAGTTTTCAACTAATAAACTCTAAAAAAATACAGGTTCTTAATTGGCATCTGTGGTTCAACGAAGAACCTTTATCATCCATGGAACCTTTCCAATTCACAAAAAAAAAAAGATATATATATAGGCTAGCTTGAAATGTTCTTAACACTAAGTAAAAAATGGTTTCTTTTAATAACTGTTTCTTATGGTTCTTCTATTGCATCGTTGGGAAAACCCCCTTTTAGAACCTTTATTTTTAAGAGTGCAAGTCAGATCTTCCCAAAAATATCTGAGTGCATACAGTAGGGATGCGCGCGCTCTAGAGGCTGAACTATTGAGCGCTTGTCAGTTGTCAAGAAGATGGCGGCTTCCTGGGCGGCATGAAAAGATGTAGAGTTAGCAATATCTACAGTGAAAGAAGCACCCAGGGTTGAATTCGTTCTCCGAGTCCTCTCTCGTGATTTTAAAATTAAGTTAACGAATCGGAAAGAGTAAGTATTTTGTGCTAGGCAATGACAGAATCCGAATATTTTGCAGCTTTCTGTGACGGCTAACGGTACATCCGCCATTTTTCTTGAGGGAAGCTAAGCGAGTAGCCAGAGACGAAACAATAACAGAAGTTATTGAATTGTGCATATCGAATAAAATGCCATTTGCAATTCTAACAGTAAATAAACATGAAACATGTAACATTTTCTCTGTTGTGCCAAATGAGTATGTAGAATTTACAATGTTGTAATGAGCTATTTAGCATTGAAGCTAACTGGCTGCCCTGGATCTCATTGAACATTTCAGATAGTGCTAATGCGGCTAATAGCTAACAACAGCAGCAGCCGATGTACGTTCTTCTTTTTAGTCTTCTCAGCGCTGTTTTGAGACAAGAAATGTGTATTCTAAAAGTAATATGGTGTATTTCTTTATAAATATATAAATGCATTTGGATGATTAAAAAAGCACTAAGCTTTTTTCCAGAGGGGTGGATTGTTTGGTTTGTTTATCAAGATGGCGGCACCCAGACAAGAGAGGCATGAAAAATCCACATATCACATAAACCTACGATATTAACCTCTATCAGCATTTATTTTAATGCGCACTTTAAACGCGTGTTTTTTTTTTACCTTTATAAAATTTAAGTTTCATGCTCGCTGATTTTTTTTAACGCGCCATGGTATTATGGTATGATTTCCGTGATATTACCTTATAATATCGATATTTGGATCGTTTTTTTGGATCGTCGCTCGTTTGTTACTTTATTTTTTAGATTCATTTTTGGGGTACATTTTTTTCGCCGACCATTTTTTAAAATGATTTATTATTATTTTCACCCCTCTAATCAATAGCTTTTTTTATCGCCACCTATCATTTTATATTATTGGTTTCCATCGCTTATTTCTATACATTAGCTTGTACGTGTTTGATTATTATTTTTTACCGTCACCTATTTTATTTTTTACTATTTTTTTCACCGCCCATTTATATTCACAAGCTTGTTTTTTTAATAGACCTATTTTTTATTTGTTTATATCATCCACTAGCTTGTATGTGTTCGATTTTTTTCACCGTGACTTTTTTTTTTTTTTACTATTTATTTATTTTATTTTTCCCACCGCCCATTTCTATTCACTAGCTTGTATGCGTTCGATTTTTTCCACCGCCCATTTCTGTTCACTAGCTTGAATGTGTTAGCTTAGCCCCGTTAGCAGCTAACTAGGCGCTCGTGCTGGTAGCGTTTAGCTAGCCTCTGCAAGATGGCGGCATACCCATCCTCATTGAGCTTTTCTTTTTCTCTTAGAGACCTTTAACCCAAACATGCTTTTTCGTTTACTAAACGGAGAATTAAGAAAAAAATACACAGGAGCCCACCTGCATGTGATGTTGTGTATTTGTAGTTACTTTGCTTTATTTCTCCCGGAATTCGCGTTTCTTCAGCCACCGGCGTCCGTCTATTTATTTTCTTCTCGTGATGAAAAGCGTCTTTTGCCGCTAAAATGGCGGTTCGCGCAGATTTGAGCGGCTAACATGCTAACCGGCCAACATTAATCACACGCTATACTTTTGGTTTCCGAAGCGCACAAACACTAATATTTGTTATAACGGGATTTTTAGTACCTTTGGGGCAGCATTTGGCCAGAAATAACCTTGTGGAATTCAAACAGAATTTGGTGACCTAGTTAGCTTGCGCGGAGGCTACCTTGTACTAGCGGGCTAATCCGGTTAGCACAGAGATTTTGACACACGAATGCTGTTGAAATCCGAACTAAAATCAGCGCTGTGCGTGGGATTTGTGTTTCGTTAGAGAAGTGGACATGGCTTCTTCAGGCACCTCGGTTCTGCAGCCGCGCTGGAAGAGGGTTTTGGGCTGGTCTGGCCCGGTTCCTCGCCCGAGACACGGACACCGAGCTGTGGCCATTAAAGAGCTGATGGTTGTGTTCGGCGGAGGGAATGAAGGGATTGTGGATGAGCTGCACGTCTATAATACAGGTAAGGATAGTATTATTTTATAATAAAGCAGTTATTTGTGCACGTACTTGCGTTTTGTTTCTAGCATTTAGCTCACTTGTGTTATTAGCCAAATTCTGTGCGTTCTGCTATGTCTTGGTGGTCAGATGTGTTGTTTTGGTTTTTACAACCACTAATATGACAGCTAGCATATTGTTGCATTTATGTAGGTTTACACAGCTGCTTTTATATTTGTTTAGCATTAATTTCTGGACTAATTGTTAACATATACAATGTTAGCCAGGTGCATTAGCGCAGATATCGGGTAGACCAAATCTGCATAAGTGATCAGCTACCTGAGCTAACTAGCCGTGAAGAATGTGGATACAATTATAGGACACTTGCTTGTGCAATTCAAAACTCACACCATCAAGTAACGTCAGTGTTTGCACTAACATTAGCGCACTTAATGTGGGTGCATCATCTGCAGAATATGATGTTGCACTCATGTGCACTATGGAGTTGTTTTGTTTTAAGATGTTTGTGTGTCAGCTAGCCAGCTAACGCTACAGCACTAGCCAAGCACTGGATCTGGCACGCCAAGAAAAATGCAAAGAGAAATGGCGGGTTAAAAGAACGCCACCTACGTCATCACAACACACATGCCCCGCCCACAGTATTTCCCGCATTTCCATGTGAATACTTCTAGGATGAATGGAAGAGTTTGTGATTCACAGAATTTCTGATGTGGATAATTTTATTGATTTTTAATAACATTTCGATAAGGTCTGTGGAATGTTATGAAACCGTAAGAAGTAGATTCACTCCAAAAAACATAGTTCTACATTGAAAATATATATAAATACTATATGCTGTTAAGTGATTATTATTAAGATCATGATTTAAAGATGCCCTATATTTGCATGTTGCTCATGGGTCATTTTTATTTTATTTTGGAAGCTGTTTATAATTGTGCAGAACCATTCATTCATTGAGATACTATTATAGTGTCTATACTAGATGCGGTTACAGATTTAATGTTTTGATTTTTTTTTTTATGTTAAATTTTAGTAGTTTTTATTAAGTCTTTTACATAAAGTTAAACTAAATTAAAATGAGAAATGTTGAGCTGAAATATTTTAATTTTTTTACGTTTTCATATTTTAGTTAACTTTTGTTTTATTTCAAGTAACGAAAGCGTTTTAGTTAACTTAATTACCATGTGCAGAACAGACTGAAAGAATGTGATGCATTGCAAGACGCCACTGAAAGAATTTTATTCATCTAAACCACAATGACGCAACTGTGTTTCTCAACAGCCACCAATCAGTGGTTTATTCCTGCTGTCAGGGGTGACATTCCTCCCGGCTGCGCTGCATATGGATTTGTGTGTGACGGCACCAGACTCCTTGTGTTTGGGGGCATGGTTGAGTACGGAAAATACAGCAGCGATCTTTATGAACTACAGGTAAGCCTATCAGCACCACCATCTTTAAATCTCAAAGGTAGAGCATAGGTTTTCATTACCTCTTTCTCAGCATCAGCCCTAACGTTTGTAATAATTCCCTCATTTCTGTCAAATACTTCAAACAGGCCAGTAGATGGGAGTGGAAACGTTTAAAGCCCAAAGCCCCCAAAAATGGCCCACCACCATGCCCTCGCCTGGGACACAGCTTTTCTCTAGTTGGAAACAAATGCTACTTGTTTGGTGGACTGGCAAATGACAGTGAAGATCCCAAAAACAATATTCCCAGGTAAAAGATGCAGCCAAACTAATTCATGAATGTTTGAGCAGCAAATCCACAATTTAATTATTTCAAAATTTTTACACCAGATACCTGAATGACCTCTACACACTCGAACTACGCCCGGGGTCAAACGTAGCAGGCTGGGACATGCCTATTACGTACGGTGTGCTTCCCCCTCCTCGCGAGAGCCACACTGCTGTCGTCTACACAGAGAAAACGTCCAAAAAGTCTCGTCTCATCATCTACGGCGGCATGAGTGGCTGCCGTCTTGGAGACCTCTGGACTTTAGACATAGGTGAGAGAAAGTATTCATAGTTTTCAGTCACGTGACTGAAACGGAGGTCTGGAAGGCAAAACATCCATAGAACTGCAACACAGACCTGTCAATTTTCTATCTGTTTTAATCAACAAGCATTAAGATCACCTCTCAATAGAAGGAAAACTAAGGGTGTATTCACACCAGGAAAGTCCGATAGTTCACTTGCTTTGGTCCGGACCAAATAATTTTTTTTTTTTTTTTTTTTGGTACGGTTCGCTTTCACACTGCTCTTTTTGCAAGTGAACCAAAATTTGTAAACAAAACCACACGTGTGCTAAGGTCGTCCATTCATTGGACAAGGATTCTCAAGTAGGGAAATCAGGAAGTGCAAAAAAGGCTCAGCATGGAGATTTTTCGTACGGCAATTTTTGTTATTTGACTAATTTTGTGTTATTCTGTACAAACGCAATATGAAGAAACTGCGCAGAAGACGGATAAGGTATAAAGTTTTCATTCATAGAGAGGGGCTATGTTCATACATTCAAATAATGAGATTCTTATTGTATATACTGCTAACAAGTGCTGTCAATGTTAACGCTTGCGATTTAAGTTTGTCCAGTTTAACGCAGCATCATCCTTGTATTGACTGCAAAAGCTTTTTTTGCATCTATGCGCGATTAGACTAAAGAGAACGCTCTGATGCACACACTCATTCATTCATCCCATTCCAATGATGCACACACACGACGCGCAGAAAGACGCGCAACAGTATGGTGTGGCCAGACAGCGCGCCGGAATGGAATTCTCTTTCGCACTTGAACAACAATAACACAAAACCATTATGCCAAAATCTCCGACTACGGAAGCCTGTTAACTCAAAGGCGCAGTGCTTTCTTGCAATTGGGTCGGTTCATGTTCACACCGTAAACGAACCGTACCAGAGTTCGTTTGGAACCGTACCGAGACCACCTCTTCAGCTGGGTCTCGGTTCGGTTGTTTGGTCCGCACCCGAGTTCGATTGCTGTATTCACACCTGCCCAAAAGGTCCGCACCAAAGGGGGAAACGAACTAGTGTTCGATTCAATCGAACCAAACAAGGCAGGTGTGAATACACCCTAAAACTCATCCATATACAGCACCTGCCGCAGTATTTCAATCACTTAAAAAAGCAGGACATTCTTATGAAAAACACTTAATGTTCTAAAACAGTGATAAAATATCAAATTAAGTATACACCTTATTAATCATGCATACTATATACAGGAAAGCAGATGACCCCGGAAAATGAACGCATCGTGCTAAATGGTTAAGACGAGTTTTCTATGGAAAAGCACTTAACGAGAAACTGCGTGTTGCGTTTATATACTGGGTTTATCTGCTCCAGGTGATCGTTCCTATAATGGTGTGATATCAAGGGAAAACTATGGATTGGCTTAAAATGCACTCACTCTGTTTTGCAGATACTTTAACCTGGAACAAACCTGCCATAAGTGGAGTGGCACCTTTGCCCCGCAGTCTCCACTCTGCCACCACTATAACCAACAAGTAAGTTATAACTTTCTCAAGCTTGTTTAAACATACAATGTTTATTTAAACATTGACTGTCTTCAAGATTGGAAATGATTGATGAAAAACCAGTACTGCATTTTGGGTGCAGAATTTAAGGTGACATCGAATCATAAATGACTTTCAGAGTAGGCTTGCTGCGATAGTCTGTGTTACACGGTGTTTCGGCCATACACTGATTACATTATCTGCCCACCACGGCACCGCCCCCCCACTGTCGTTTAGCTTTTTTATAGAAATAAAAACCATTTAATTAAGATGGACGATGGATGCTACAATTATAAACTGAAAGCGTCTGCTTGCTCCATACAGCACGAGCTGCAGAGTCGCAGCACAGTGCAGCAGGAGTCAGATTTCACTTATCACGTGACGAGAGTAAGGAGAGATGACTGACAAGACGATGGCAGAGGATTTGGTGCGCAACAGATCCTGAGCGTCAATGACAAATATCTAATCTTGTAAAATGTGGGGTCAGTACCGCCGCTCCCTATACACAGAGTATGCGTGACTGCGAATTCGAAAGTGAAAAGCGAGAGCACATTCAAAAATGATTTCAATACCCCGCATATTGATAGCGACTCCCTGATGTCTGCCAATTATGATAGTGGCTCCCCCCCGTTTACTGTCTTAAAGTAAACCGTGTATGAAAAAGTATTATATTGCGTTTGTAATTCATAATAGAAAGGCAAGTGCTACGAATGCGTTGGCATTCAGCGAACCTGGCAAATGATCGGCTTTATATCGAATATCGGCATCTGCAATGGCCATAAAAAATTTTTTTTTAACATGACCACTAAAACAATTGTTTGTTTAAATTATCTTGCATTTAAATAACAAATTTCCTTTTGGAAGTGAATAAAATTAAGTACCTCCCACAGTTTTTATTTTTACCTCACAGAAGTAAAATGTGTTGTGAATGCCTTTCCATGTTGACTTCAATAGTGGACTAGTTGGTGTGGACTTCACTAACTTTGGTCTCATGTGTTTGTAGGATGTTTGTGTTTGGTGGATGGGTCCCTCTGGTTATGGATGATGTCAAAGTAGCCACACACGAGAAGGAGTGGAAGTGCACTAACACTTTGGCCTGCTTAAATCTAGGTATGTTTAAGGTGCAGCAAGCGATTTCTGAGACCCACTGTTGATATTTGAAATCGACAAACAAACACACCTCTCCCTTAAAGGAGAACTCCGGCGCAAAATTAACCTTTGGTCTAATTACACATTGTTACCTAGTCAACCGTTATCTGAGATTTGTTTTCATGATTATCGAATGTAAATAGTTTTATCTCTAAAAACAGTTTAGCCTATAAAGCTAGTATAACGCTAGTATATTGGGCATAGTGTAATGACAAATAAAAATCGCTTGTTAATACCACTAACAAGGCTGAAAATAGACCCACACTAACACGGTAGCATAATGAGGGTCCCTACCTTCAAACCGAAGCATTGAGAACTTTGTAAGTGTCCAGACAGTTTAATAAGAAGATATTTTAAACATACAGTCAACTTCGCGTATACAGGCAGAAGCCATCTTTGAAATACAGCCTTTACCAGTCGATCTACGAACGCCGATCCAAGTACGCTGGTGAGATGTGAACGAGCTATAAGTTGTGATAAGGTGAGCGCGAACAGCAGGCTTGGATCGGCGTTCGTAGATCGACTGGTAAAGGCTGTATTTCAAAGATGGCTTCTGCCTGTATACGCGAAGTTGACTGTATGTTTAAAATATCTTCTTATTAACCTCTTAACCTTCTCCAGAGCGTCGGCGCACTGAAGCGTTTTTTTTTTTATTTAGTTCAAATATACTATCAGATTTAATGTTATACCTTGACAAACTATACATTATTAAAAAGATATAAGACTCAAGATTCAGTATTTGACCACTATTGTATTCTGAGAAACTTATAGTGACAGTTATGTCTTAATTTGTGTCAGGAGTTATGAAATGAAAAAAATGAGTCGATACCTTTAATATGAATTATGAGCCTCAGCCGGTCCATTCATAAAAAACACTCCGTGCTGTCGTCATGACAGCGATTCACAAAACAACGTCCCTGAGGGCTTTTAGCTCAACAATGTGCAGATGTGGAGAAATATTGATATATTCTCATAGATTCACATCATATTTCTATAGACAGGAATAATATTTATTGAATTTATACCCAAATGCGTCGATGTAATCATAATGATCGCTTCTTACTGAGATGTGCTGTGTTTTCCATTCATACCAATAGCATGGGGGCGCTATTATGTCCAATAAAAGTCCATATATGGATCATGAAGAAGACCCATAGTCATGTGACATTCCAGGACGTCACTGAGTGATACAGAAAGTACAGAGATCGCTGTAACATGCAGATAAAGATGTTTTGAAGACAATAAACATGATTGCAATGATATTTGAGTTACCTGTGTTCTTCAAGCCATGCCAGGTATTTCATAATAATAGATTATATTTATAATGTAATGCTAATCGATATAGATTTCATCATCGTTCAGAACACTAAATAATACATTTTCTGTCTGATTTTTTTTAATCTGAAGCCAAGTTAGATCACAGAAGATTATTTAAAACACTTTACTTGCGTTATATAGTGAGTTTGGAGCGCAAACATAGTTTTAATCTCATAAATGGTCGTGTATTGATGGTGTGCTAAGCTAACATGCTAGCGAGCCCAGGCGCACCTGCCACGAGCAGTTATTGTTTTATGATTTTTTTCTAAATAGGAATGCTTACTGAAATGTTTCAGTGCATTTGATACCAGTTTCAAATATTTAGTGAGAACTTTGATAAAAGAAATTAGGGTTTGAAACCCTATGAATAGCTTGTGAATAGCCAGTCGTTAGTAGCTATAATGCAGACAAAAGAAATGCATATTTAGAGCCATAATAACCAGTCTGGAGAGGTGTAAATGTGTGCAGGGGAGACTGAGACTGAATGGGGCACCACAAAACAATAGAGACAATAGACTGAATAGATGACTCAGAAGATGACTAAACATCAGTTTGCTAATAGAGTCTAATCAAAATAAAGTAATTTGACATGATCTTGAAAAACATTTAACTAAATACAGAGCTTTATACTTATCATTTTCAGATTTTAAATATAAAATGGTCAGACATGTGGCTTTAGCTGCAGTGCATTTCTAGATTGCTCCAGGGCCAACTTCAATTTTATTTTCATGAAGATGTTTCATAAAAATAAATTTCTAATAACTTTACAAAACTTTGAAGCTATTTAAAATTGTTTTTTTCATTATGACAATAATTAATTCTACATTTACAATAAACAACCAGGTGTCAGCTTTCAAATGAGATCATACTTGTGCTTTTAGTGCAAAGGGTTCATGAACTGTATCTGTTTCAGTTTGTGTATGTCATTTCTGGGGATTTTTCAAAAGTGGGCTTGAAGCTTAACAGGTTAAACTGTCTGGACACTGACAAAGTTCTCAATGCTTCGGTTTGAAGGTAGGGACCCTCATTATGCTACCGTGTTAGTGTGGGTCTATTTTCAGCCTTGTTAGTGGTATTAACAAGCGATTTTTATTTGTCATTACACTATGCCCAATATACTAGCGTTATACTAGCTTTATAGGCTAAACTGTTTTTAGAGATAAAACTATTTACATTCGATAATCATGAAAACAAATCTCAGATAACGGTTGACTAGGTAACAATGTGTAATTAGACCAAAGGTTCATTTTGCGCCGGAGTTCTCCTTTAATTGCTCCACCCCCAAAATAACAAACACGCTATGCAACACAGGATCCACTAAAGCCTTGTTTATACTTTTATAAGATACCCACCGCGAGCCTCCGCTGTTTGAGCGTGCTCCTCCCCAAACGAACGAGGTGTTAATGCATGACGCACTCGCCGTTGTACTATTCTTTAAAACACATACAGCGACTCAGAGTAATTGTCCTCTAAACCATCAGGAAGCAGCGGTGAGAAGTAAGGTACACATGTGACCATGTTTGTTTTTATTACACTTCACCAAACCCACACTACAAAGGAAACAAAGAATCGTTTAACAGTCAGTTAACCTTGAGATTATTACTTGTGACGTTAGAACAAAATATGGAGAACATGTATATAAAACTAAATTAAACAACAATTTCATTAATTTCATTTAGTATTGTGATTTTTATTTATTTATTATTATTATTTTTAAAGGTTTATTTCTGCTATTGTAGGCTCGTTTTGCAATTGTAAAGTTGTACATCTTCGGAAGCGGAGTCGTACGAAAAAAAAATGAAAAAAAAATGCCGTGCACACCACCACTCGAAATAGGATGTTACGCACGACTGCCCACACCACGCGGACGCGCCGATTCTACAACAACAGCAGCATATCTTCAAAACCAATGTTTCTCTCGTATCAAGCAGAAACAAAGCAACCTTAGTATCCGTTTTTGGGCCTTAATTCCCGTTCTCTAACATATCTCTAGCGCTGGAAAGATTTTCCAATATTGATGCAGATCCTAGCTCTTGCCTGATCGTAACCCATCTATTTCTAATTATTTTCCTCTGACCTTTTTCTCTTCGGTAATATCTCAGCCATCTCACTTTCTATAGTCTTTCTTTCAACATTCAAATCTCACTTCATCACTTCATGAGTAGGGGTGTCACGATTCTCCAAATCCTCGATTCGATTAAGTTTTCGATTCTAAGGTCACGATTCGATTCAATTCTCGATTTAAAAAAAAAAAATTAAAGCGCAGATTGCTATGCAATTTTTAGACTACACGTTTATGCATTATGCAATATAAATTTGTTCACAATGTACACTACACCATTGCCAAATTTAAAATATAACAAAAACAAGTAACATCATAAATGTAACAATAACTTTATTAAGGCTTCTATTGGGGTTTTAGAATGAAGCTTTGAATGTCTTTCTCCGTATTTATATATGGTACACGCACATAGCAGAGCTTGCAAACTGTGGCTTTTTTGTCGACAACGCGAACGTTGTCAACATACCGCACTGCAAATCCAAAATACCTCCACACCGGCGACTTCAGAGAAGCAGGAGGGTGTTCAAGTTCCGTTGATGGGTCTTCGATATCTGCAGTTGCCATGATGTGTCAGTTAGAGGACTCGCAGCCTTTCAACAGGTGTTTTGTTTTCCGCACCGTGATGAGTCGTTCATCATGAATGAGTCATTCATCATAAACGATCTGTTCATTCCCTCTGTCACGCGACAAATGAACAAAAGACTCGGAAGGTAAAGTAATTATTTGTTCCCTGTAGTGTAAATTATTTTTCACTGCATTCATTATGTACATCTTCTTAATGTTCGGGGAATTTGCATGTTAATAGTATAACATTTAAAGCCCCTGAAATGACTAGAAAAAAAGTTTAGTTAATTTTGATGAACGAGATTGAACAATAGAGTCTGTAAAACGATCCGAACTTTCCATCACGGACGCGACATGGGGCGTGGCAGTATCGACGATACCATTTTTTATTTCGATTTCGATACCATTGAATTAATTTCGATCGATTTCGATTTAATATCGAAATCGTGACACCCTTATTCATGAGTGTATACGTCCCCTATTGCTGATTGGCTACAATAATGTTTTGGTGCTCTATGGATTGGTCTGCATTGGATTGGATTGGTCTACTTTATGCAGCCAGGACTATGTACAAACACAAAAAATTTTCCAGCACACACACCTAGCAAATATTAACAATAAATACTTTTTTTTTTTTTTTTTTTTTAGGTGTTAACGCTTGCTGCACCTTTAAATAAAAACACCTCTATTTTATTGAGGCCCAAACTGAGCAAAATATGCAATTTGGTGCAGTTTCTGATATTCATATGGCCAAAAAATAATGTAAATCTATTCGATTTTTATAATAGTATAGTAGACTACTTGCGTAATGCATACTAAATAGTAGTTGTCGCTCTATAGTTCTCAATAACGTGTCTTAGTAAAATTATAGTTAAATGCTTAGTTATGATCAAAGCTCTGTAGATTTTATTGTGAAGGTCAAAACAATGACATGCAATACAATGATGATTGGGAGATGTACAAATAAACGTTCCTCAAAAGCCTGATGTATCATATTTGATACTTAGATTTGAACATGATTTTTCTATTAAAAATCAAGTAAACCTTTAAAAAAACTGTATAAAAAAGTTTACACTTGTACCACGACCTGAAGGTGGATGCTTTTAGAATTGTATTAAAATGCCTTTTGCTAAAGAATGAAGTGTTAGGGCTGTCAAATTAAAAAAAAATCCACATTCGAATGCAAATATGGTGTATTTGATTTTTAGGTGTGCGTCAGGCAGCTTTATCAGTGGGACATAAGATTTAATGGTGTAAGAGTCGTTGTTGTGTTTATTGTTTTTGTTAGCATATCCAGTTGAACCCACTAGATGCGGAGCTGCTGCATTGTTTATTCAAAACATTGCAGAAATAGAGAAGCTCAATGCAAAGAAGATCTTAAACGTTATTTTTGCACCGTCATGTTATATCATTGCTTTGAATAAAAAAATGAATGCGGTGCCTTTTATATTCTGCTCATTGCACCAAAAGCTTTCCTCCCCTAACTGAAATTATGCCTTTTAAATTTGAATATTTGTAATATTTAAATAAAAAAACTTTAGTTCTTCAGCCATTTTGACAGGCCTATTAATTAGACTACAGAAGGCATGTAGTAGATTGTGTACAACAGGTTTTTCAGCAAAGTTTTGGTCATGTTGATTATTTAGAGGGCGTAGCAATTTCCGTATCAAATATGATACAGTGGGCTTTATTGGGTTAAAAGAGAACTGTCTCTGATTACTTATATGCTTCCTCTGCTCATAGTTCACAGCTTATGTGTTTTACCATTGCTGATCTGGACCTTTATTTCCTTCAGACTCAATGTCTTGGGAAACAATCTTGATGGACTCTCTCGAGGATAATATCCCACGGGCCAGAGCTGGACACTGCTCTGTTGCTATTAACAATAGGCTGTACGTCTGGAGTGGAAGGGACGGCTATCGCAAAGCCTGGAACAACCAAGTTTGCTGCAAAGATCTGTGGTATTTGGAGACAGGTGAGTTGAGTTGATAAAAATCCATTCTCAGATGCATCTCGATTCTGTCTTCAACGACTGATTCGATTCTGAAAACTTGAGAATCAATTCTGAGCTTAGTTTTTAACAATCTATTTCAGTGTTTTCTCTTCCAAATATTCGGAGAAAGCATTATTTATATACAGTTTGGAATGCAGTATAAATTTGATGCACATAACTAACTTGCTGATAGATGTCTGCTTTCTAAAGCTCACATGCACTTTGTCTGTTTGTTTTGAAGGAGCACGACTGTATAAGTGGTTAAATTAACTTGCATGTGCCAATGCTTTGATGCGTCAATAATGTAACACAGTTTACACATTATAACAGCCTTCTGTCTGTACTATCATGATGACTTTGCTCACTTGCGTTCTCGTGCACTGACTCGTTCCTTAAACTGAACGGCCAATCAAAGTTCTCGCTCTCACAGACGGCCCGACAGCGATTTAACTTGCCGAAACGGCCACAAAAAAATACTGACTGTGTCCGACTAGAGCCAACGGTTTTTGGTGTGTCCCAGGCTTTAAGGACAAGACAACACATCTGATATGTTCAAACAAGTGAAGTCTTTATGAGCGAGTAATTTAATCATTATTCAAACCGATACATTTTTTTTTTTTAAATACTGTTTTATTTTAATTTTTTCGTCTGTTCAGAATAGTGGAAGAATCATGATCCCTTTTAAACAAATAATTTTTTTCATTCTCAGTTTATCCAGAATCATGCAACTCTAATGTATTGTATAAAACAATATATAAATAAAGGTGACTTTGTCTACTTAGTTATATTTAGTTAGGTAATAATTCTTAACATAAATTTGTCCTGATTTATTAATTTTTTAAAACGTAATTAATTTAATAAAAATGCACACCTTTTATAAGAACTCCCTAATTAATAAGAAAAAAGTGTAGATCAAGAATCATTTTAAAATCGTTTCTAGAATCGGAATCAGATCATGAGTTGTCTACAGATTCCCACCCCTAGTATTACCATCTCAAACAACATTTAAAATGCATAATCTCATATTTTGCTATCAGATCGTCCTCAACCCCCATCACGTGTTCAGCTGGTCCGTGCCAACACTAACTCTCTGGAGGTGAGCTGGGGGGCAGTGCCTACCGCTGACACTTACCTGCTGCAGCTACAGAAATACGACATCCCTGCTGCAACAGCTGCCACATCGCCAACAGTCAACCCCATCCAGTCGTTACCCATCAACTCGCCTAGGAGTCCGGTGGCCGCCACTGCTGCTCCTGCAGCTCAGAGCATGCCCCTCTCTGGGGTCACACTGGTGCCACAAGTCCCTTCCCCCACAACCGCCATGCCAACCAGCCCGCTTGCAGCCTCACCTCGTGGACCAGGTACAAATTACTTAATGGTTGCTGTACAGGGTTTTACTTTCTGTAAATAATAATACTAATAACTATTTGTGATATTACCAACCCTAACTTATTCTTTTCATTCCAGCTATTCTTAAAGTGGCAGCGCCTCATTCGACCCCCGGGACGTCAGTCGTTACTGTGCGTCAGGCCACTCCTGGAGGAAAATCCCCAGTCACGGTTACATCACTTCCTGCAGGCGTCCGCATGGTTGTCCCCGCACAGAGCACCCAGGGGACGGTATGTAGACGAATATCAATATAAATCTTAAATTAGGGCTGCACGATTAATCAAAATAAAACTTAAATTGCAGTAGCTAATTTAATAATTATAAATTTTACAGTTGTAGTGTCAAATAAAATGTATTATTAAATACTTTATTTTACAGTGCAGTATTACAATAATATTTTTTTTCTTCTTTTGTTTAGTATTTTTCTATATTAACTAACAAAAAATAGTTATTGATATAATTTATTATACATTTATTTATAGCCAAATTGTGCAGCCCTATAAACAAGCACAGCAAATCTGGAGGGGGGAAAAAACAATTCTGTTCCTCCCCAAATCGTGCAAGCCCTGTCTTCATTTTTAGTGTCCAGTGTTAAATTTGCATTCAAACCTTAAATGCACTGTAACTGTTTCTGTCTCTAGCCAATTGGCAGCAGCCCTCAGATGAGTGGCATGGCTGCTTTGGCTGCAGCTGCAGCCGCCACACAGAAGATCCCGCCCTCTTCCACTGTGCTAAATGTTCCAGCTGGAGCCACCATCATGAAAACCGTCAATGTTACTCCTGGATCCACAACTCTGCCAGCTACTGTCAAAGTAGCTTCACCTGTAATGGTAAGTGTCATCTCGAGTAACCAGATATTTGAATAAACATTATAAACCAGAAGTCTTCAAACCTGCCCCTGGAGACCCACTGTCCTGCAAAGTTTATATCTTATCTGATGTTGTGCTATAGGTAAGCAAAAAGTACTTTGGATAAAAACATTTTAGATCTAAAATGCTAAGACATAAATAGAATCAACTTCCCTTTCTGGCATCCTTCCGGACATGAATCATCCTGATTATACACTTCCTGTCTTGTAGCTATTCGTGATTTAATGTGTCTTTGTTCCTACTTCCATTCCAGGTTACTAATCCCGCGACCCGAATGCTAAAAACAGCTGCAGCCCAGGTCGGCACTTCCTCTATCTCTACTCCCAACACCCCGAATCGACCAATCATCACTGTGCACAAATCAGGCACAGTAACCGTAGCCCAGCAGACCCAGGTTGTTACCACCATGGTCGGAGGAGTCACCAAAACTATAACCCTAGTTAAGAGCCCCATCACAATGGGTAGCAGCGGTGCTCTGGTAAGAACAACAACATATCTGATTTTCTATGCTTAAAAGTAGGGCTGCTTGTCGGCACCGATAGCCTTGTGGGCAAGTGCGCCGACATGTAGCGCCATTGTGCTTCGGACGACCCGAGTTCGAGTCCTGGCTCGTGGACCTTTCACGATCCCGTCCCCCCTCTCTCTCTCTCCCACCTCACTTCCTGTCTAGCTACTGTCCTATCTTAGTAAAAGGCAAAAATAAATCAAATCATAAAAAAAAAAAAAATAATTAGGGCTACTTGTTGGAACCGATTGCACTACGTATCGCAGCGCTGTCCAAGAGGCTATTGCGCTTCGAGCAACCCGAGATCAAATATTGACTCATGGTCCTTTCCCCATACAACCCCACTTTACTTTACTTCTTCCAACTGTAATATCTGGATAAAGGCAAAAAAAAAATGAACAAAAGAAAAAGTATGGCAGCTCGATTCATCGAAATAAAACTGGAAATTACAATATGGATTAGTGTTTCACAGTGTGTATCACAAAGGCTGTGATTTTATTTGAAATATATGTGCTGCATGTCTCAGAGTGAAGCATGAAACTGTAAATGTTCACTGTAAATGTTTCTCCACACAAACACATCTCTGCATCTCCTCTTAGTTTGGGTCGCTTATAACGTGCAACCATATTCCCAAACTTGTAATGAGAAGCGCTTCTAAACTGGCTATTTTTAACAAAAGAAGTCAGTGGTTTTCCTCTAAAAAAGCTTTATCGTGCAACATCTGAAAAATAAAGACATTAGGAACGATTAAGAAGAAAGATCGTTGTATCCAGTTGCAGTGCATTCTATCAGTTGCAGTTCTGGTGCCGCTTTCCCATCATACCGTACAACACGACTTACATTCACATCACATGTTTTGCAGAGCAGAGGTAGGGTTACGCTCCTGTGAATATTGCGGTTCTTTGCCATCACGTAGGTTTATTATTTGTATGCGTTTTAAAGCCTTGCCGGTTAAACTTTTTTTATTTGCACTTACACCCAAAACTGTCAAATACACACAAGGTTTACATAAACAGTAATTTATATATTAAATGCAGGGCTTGACATTAACTTGGCTTGCTGTTTACGTTCACTTAAAACTGACTGTGTTTACGTGAATGCTTGACAAGAAGACCAGCTCTCGTCAGGGCAAAAGCCACCGCCACCGATAACGGGGGCAACGAGCACTCGGCATGGTTTCAAAAACACACTTACCGTATTTAACACAAACGAACTAAATTAATACTCTGCTAGTCAACTATAGATGTTTCATTTGTATTAGATATATATATCTGTACCGCGAGATGTTCCAAAAAGTGGTGGTTGGTGACGTCATTCGCCGCAGTCGCTTTTTCAATGATGTAGAATTCGCATTGACAGGAATATCCGATCTGTCCACTTACATGGCAGACGCAAATGCACATATCCGATTCATATCAGATTATTTCCACATATAAATGAGGTCTGAAGCCGATCTGAAAATATCAGAATCCATATGCTTTTTTCCTGCTTACAAGTTCGTGGGTCATATCCAATCTGTGCCACATGGGAGGAAAAAATGTATTGGAATCACTTGTAATGTAAATAAGGAAGTGACAGCAGCCAAATAAACCTGTCATTAATGTTAATCAAACAACAAAATACAGGAAATAACTCAATGCTCTTGACAATAACTTCAGTAGCTGTGAGAATCAGTGTATATTTAATTCACACAGTGAAGTCAATGTAGTGTTTATTTTTACATTTGTTTAATTTCTTACTTCAATGCTACTGTTACAGTAAAAACACCTTCTGTTGCTGAAAATATATTTTTTATTTTTGTATTAAAACAGAAAATGTTGCCGTATAGTTTTCAGCCATAAGCATTAGTATTTGAACTTTAAAATAAAATAATTTTCCATAAACACTCATTTTTATTACATTGAAATACAATAGTAAAATTTCTTATTTCATTTGTTTTGTAATAATCATAATTATTATAATTACAAAACTATACTTGTCATAGTCAAATTGGTATGTATTCACAAAAGTTTTAGCTAAATTGTGAAGCTCTGTTTTGTTTATTTCTAATCACATTTTTTTTTTTATCAGAAAAATCACAGTTATAATATTTTTCGCTGAAAACGTGCATCCCTAGTGTTTTTGACTCTATGAATCCGGACTTTTTGAATTTCTTTTATACTCTGTAATAACCCTTTACTGTTCTCAGATCTCCAGCCTTGGGAAGATGATGTCTGTTGTCCAAACCAAACCAGTACAAACATCTGCGGTCACCGGACAGGCTGGAGGCAGTCCTGTCACTCTAATTCAAGTCAGTAGTGCTGCTCATTTGAAGCACATACATTTCTTAAAATAAATTGTGTTAATTGTGATTTGTCTATATTGTCATTTATGCTTGTTCCCCCACTTTTTCTTAGACTAAGACTCCTCTGCCTGCTGGTACCATCCTGAAACTGGTCACATCTGCTGATGGCAAGCCCACCACAATCATTACAACTTCCCAGGCAGGAGGGGCTGGCACCAAACCTACTATCCTGGGCATCAGCAGTGTCTCTCCAAATACCGCCAACAAACCAGGCACCACCATTATTAAAACAATTCCTATGTCTGCTATACAACAAGGAGCAACAGGTCTGTTTTACAACTGACTGTTCATCCCATATGTAATCAAACATTTAAAGAGATTTTAGTTCAATTGAATCTCAGAGGTTATTTATGCATTTTTAGTTAAGCCTCACAACCTTGTGTTGTTTATAACTAACTAACAGATATGTTTTGTTACGCATCGTTGCAAGCTCACATGATTTCCTGTTGTGATACCCTGTCTCGTTGCTAGGTGTGACTAGCAGTACTGGCATGAAGTCACCCATCACGTATATCACCACTAAGGTTGTTACTCCTGGCACGGGTACTCCGGGGAAATTCATAACAGCTGTGCCTAAGCTAACAGCAGGTGCAGGACAACAGGGGGTCACACAGGTGAGTTTGTTACACACCCTCTGTTTTATGCACATTTAAGCTCATATAGATTTAATATTTTGAGTGGTCCCTGAATGTTTTATTTGCTCTCAGGTGGTCCTGAAGGGGGCACCAGGACAGCCCGGCACTATCCTGCGCACTTTGCCTATGGGCGGAGTGCGTCTGGTTTCACCAGGCACTGTGTCTGCCGGCAAACCAACAGTTACCACACTGGTCGTCAAAGGCACCACGGGTATGAATATTCAGGCTGTAAACTTTCTCTGAGGTGTAGTTTTATACAAATTAGAAAGAAATTGTTGTTCTTCATATCATTAATGGCCTCTTTGAATTTAGGAGTCACAACTCTGGGTACAGTAACTGGTACTGTATCAACTAGTGCGGCAGGGGTCAATGTGGCAAGTGCTAATGCCAGCCTGGCTACTCCTGTCACCACACTTGCCTCCATCGCCACATTGTCCAACCAGGTGATCAATCCCACGGCCATCACTGTATCTGCTGCCCAGACCAGCCACGCCACCGCTACAATACAAGTGAGACATTGTAACGTTTTTTATATTCTTACAAAAGATTTCTATTTCTAAATAATTGGTGCTCTTCTGACCTTTCAATTAATCGAAAAAAATTTTATCATGGTCTCCACAAAAATATTGTTTTCAATATGAAATTTAAAATAAATTAATTGTTTAATTGTTTAAAAAAGATACTGCTATTTAAAATTTTAATGTTTACTGTATTTATGATCAAATAAATGCAGCCTTGGTGAGCATAAGCTTAAATTTAATACATTGTACCAATCCCAAATTTGAACAGTAGTGAAAAAAATAACTAATTATAATTTCCTACCTATTTTTATCAGTTGTGTATATTGTTTTTTGTATTTATATAAATGAATATAAATAACAGAATATAAAGTACTATTATTATTATTAAGAAATTATTTATTATAGTAAAATAATAATAATTATTTATTCATTCATTCATCCAATTAATGGGGTCTGGAGATTCTCTCATTTCATAATGTTTATTTTTCCTTTCAGTCGGCACCCCAGCCTACTCAAGTAACCCTGATCACAACTCCAAGTGGTGCTGAAGCCCAGCCTGCACAGGATCTTCCTGTCTCCATCCTGGCCTCTCCCACCTCAGATCAGCCCTCCACCACTGGTGCTGATGCTGGTGACGGCGCTGGCGACGGTGCTACCACCGTGACACTGGTCTGCTCCAACCCACCATGTGAGACCCATGAGACTGGTACAACCAACACGGCTACAACGGCTTCTGCCAAAATGGGCACCGGACAGATTTGTTCCAACCCTCCGTGTGAGATGCATGAAACGGGCACCACCAACACAGCAACCACCGCCTCTGCGAATATGGGCAGGGCACAGCAGGTCTGCACCAATCCACCCTCAGAGACACATGATACGGGCACCACCAACACAGCCACTACTGCCAGCTGCAACATGGGCTCTCAAAAGATGGGCACCGTGAACAGCAAGACGGATCCTGCTTCGTCAGCTTCATCCTCAGCTTCTGGTTCAGAACAAGAAACGCCCGCCACAGAGGGCGGTGCTGGCGCCATGCGACAGGAGACTCTCCGCACGGGTACCACCAACACCTCTACTACCGCCCGCTCCAACATGGGCTCTGACCAGACGGGAACGGTGCAGAGCTCCAACAAGAGCCAAGCTTCCATCTCCTCTACTATGGTTCCTGTTTGCTCCAGCCCTTCAAGTGAAACGCAAGAGACGGACACCACAAACACTTCAGCTGAGTCTGGTGACGTCCAGCAGGTCTGCTCAAAACCACCCTGTGAGACACATGAAACAGGGACGACTGATACTGCTGCACAGTCAAGCTCCAGTATGGAAAGTGGGCAAACCAATGTTGTGGAGAGGGTGTGCTCCGATCCACCCTGTGAAACACACGAAACGGGCACCACCAACACGCCGACCCAGGCCTCATCTACTATGGGTGCAGGACAGAGTGGCACCGTGCAAAAAGTGTCCTCCAATCCTCCCTGTGAAACACACGAAACGGGCACTACCAACACACCGACTCAGGCCTCATCTACTATGGGTGCAGGACAGAGTGGCACCGTGCAAAAAGTGTCCTCCAATCCTCCCTGTGAAACACACGAAACGGGCACTACCAACACACCGACTCAGGCCTCATCTACTATGGGTGCAGGACAGAGTGGCACCGTGCAAAAAGTGTGTTCCAATCCTCCCTGTGAAACACACGAAACGGGCACTACCAACACACCGACCCAGGCCTCGTCTAATATGGGTGCAGGACAGAGTGGCACCGTGCAAAAAGTGTGTTCCAATCCTCCCTGTGAAACACACGAAACGGGCACTACCAACACACCGACCCAGGCCTCATCTAATATGGGTGCAGGACAGAGTGGGACCGTGCAAAAAGTGTGTTCCAATCCTCCCTGTGAAACACACGAAACGGGCACCACCAACACACCGACCCAGGCCTCGTCTAATATGGGTGCAGGACAGAGTGGGACCGTGCAAAAAGTGTGTTCCAATCCTCCCTGTGAAACACACGAAACGGGCACTACCAACACACCGACCCAGGCCTCGTCTTCTATTGGTGCAGGACAAACTGGCGCTGTCCAAATGGTGTGTTCCAATCCTCCCTGTGAAACACACGAAACGGGCACTACCAACACAGCCACCACTTCTACAAGCAGCTTAGAAACTGGAGAAGGAACAGGTATTTATCCATATAACACTCAAAGATTATTGTTTTAATGTAAATATGAACATATTTAATTTTGTTGTTAAATATAATTAATTATTATTATTTGTTTTTAAAACGGAATCATATGCATCGACTAGCTTCTCCAAGATGATAGGGATGTTAATCGTCACTTGTGTCAAGATTCGATTCAATATCAGGATGCATCACGATGCGTTGCAATATTACTGCACGTGGCTACATTTTCGTCAATGAATACAAGTAGTCACATATATAAACTCCCTTTTTATTTGATCTGCTCCAAGACAGTTCACTTCCTGAATGTAGTAAAAGAAAGCTTAAGTCTGAACACACCAGAAGACAGGAGCATTTAGAACTAATAAACACTAGTAAATACTAAAAGCGCTTGAAACTGTCAAGTGACCCATTCAACACCCCTACAGTACAAACTGATTAATCAGACCTTAAATAAAATAAGCCCTGATATTAACAGCTTTTATGTATACAAGTCTTTCTTCTACAAAGCATATGCAACCAAGGGCATTTTTTATTTTTAGCCAGGCATTTAAACCTTAATATCAGGGGTATTTCTCCCCCAATTTGCATGCTGTCAAGAGTACTAAATAGATTATCCATCTTTTCTACTGTAAATGTTCTGATGCCTATTTTACTTATAATATTTGAATGCTGCTCCAGTGTGAACACTTCTAAAAGAAAACGTATAGATTTATAATATTGGTGGTCATCGTATTATAAAGCAGTTATCAGCATTAATTATTATCGTTTATCAATGTCAAGAGTTTCAGTGCACCCTTAATAGAGCTCATCTGCGTTTGTCCTTTAGCCCAGCAGGGTGGTGATGGACCGAGTGACAGCGGCACCAGCTCAGAACCCACGTCATCTACAGAACCAGCCAATCCCACAACACAAAGCAGAGCCATCACCACAGTAACACAGGCCACGCCCACTCCAGGACCATCAGTACCGGTATGAACACGCTTCTAATCTCATCGGCTGGCTTTATGCAATTTCCTGGGCCTGACGCACATTTATATTCCACTTTGCTCTCAAGGTTATCTCAGATACTATTAAAGATGGAGCATAAAAGCTGCTTAGTCGTTTTACATATACAGACAGTCCCTCCCTGTCTAATTGGGCACATTTCAGCTTGAAAAAGCTGCAGTGCAGGGCAGGTTTTTGATGATAGCCTTACTTATTAGTATTGCAAAATAGTATTTTACAAATACACGAATTAATATGTGAATTTTCTGTTCAAATACATGCAGATATGTGCTCTAAATTAAGCGATTTACTTGTCTGCCTTGTTCTCTATTTCTGATTGTTTTCTCACTCAATGTAGGAGATTTCGTCTATGGCCGGATCTGCGGTAGTGGCTGAGGTCCCGGGAGAGGCGGAGGCCATGGAGCAGACCAGCGCAGAGGCCGTAGCAGCGGGAGAAGAGCCCATGCAGACCGAGTGTCAGGGAGAGCTGAGTGAAGAGGGAGCCATCAGGGTCGTTGCCATAGAAAGTGCAGCGGGTGATGAGGGCACCATGCTACAGGTTCATGTTGCAATGGAAGCACAGCCAGGTCAAGGAGATCAGGCTGAGGTACAGGAGAAACTTTTGTAATCACATGGTTTAGAGATAAATGCATACGATGTGAACTGACTTTGTTAATCTACGCTTTTATGATGCTTTTTTTCCATTCGCTTACAATGTTAGTCATTGTTTCTTTCACTAAAACAAGTGTAATTCAGTTAAAGACTTTTCCCCCACCTTTTTTGACCCTTAAATTCAATGGACTATTTTTAAAGAGCTTTTGCATTGTAAACCCTGTATATTTTAATTTGTTTTAAAACCATGTTTTTCATGATATAGCTATATATACATTATATATTGGTAAATACACTACTGTTCAAAAGTTTGGAGCTGGTAATTTTTTTTTTTTAATGTTTTTGAAAGAAATCTTTTTTTGTCTTATGCTCAACAAGGCTGCATTTATTTGATCAAAAATACAGTAAACAGTAATGTTGTGAAATATTACAATTTAAAATGTTTTCTATTTGAACAGGAATAAATTACATTTATTACAAATGTAATCAAAGCTGAATTTTCAGCATCAGTACTCCAGTCTTCAGCATCACATGATCCTTCAGAAATCATTCTAATACGCTGATTTGCGGCATGTTTTTGCTGTTCTTGTGCAAAATAATATTTTTGTGGAAACAGTGATGGATATTTCAGGATTCTTTGATGACTGAAAATCAAAGCAGCATTTATTTGAAATTGAAATCTTTTGTGACATTATAAATGTCTTTACTGTCACTTTTGTTCAGTTCAATACTTCTTCACTGAATAAAATCTTACTAACCCTAAACAAATTTGCAAATATTAAACAATTCCCTGTTTTCTCTGTAAAGCAGATGGAGGCCGGTGTGGATGCTGCAGAAGCGATGAGTCTAGCTGCTCAAGACTCCGAAGCACTCGCTCTTCCCCAGGAGCTGATGTCTGCAGAAGGACAGCAAACTACCCTCATGGTGACTGGACTGACCCCAGAGGAGCTGGCTGTGACGGCAGCGGCTGAGGCTGCGGCACAGGCTGCGGCAACAGAAGAAGCGCAGGCCCTCGCCATCCAGGCTGTCCTACAGGCGGCTCAGCAGGCTGTGCTCAGTAAGTGTGCGACACGCTGCCATATGCTTAACGTTATGATGGATACAGTACACTTTGAATTCTCAGCCTGACTTTCTGTTTCAGGTGCGGGAGACGCAGGTCATGATGGGCACCAGTCCACCACCATCCCTATAGTTTTGACCCAGCAGGAACTCGCTGCTCTAGTTCAGCAACAGCAGCAGCTCCAGGAGGCGCAGGCGGCTGCAGCCCAGCAGTTGAGTGCTGAAGCAGCTGCAGCTGCGCTGCCTACCGAAGGCTTGGCACCAGCAGACAGCCTCAACGACCCTGCGTCTGAGAGTAATGGCCATGAGATGGCAACCGCTGTTACTAGAGCTGTGGCCAGTCTCCTTCCACGCACTTCTGCAGAGAGTAAGAGATGCTTTTTTAGTTTTAAATGATTTGTTTTTAATTGCACAAACAAAAAAAATAAGTTTATTTGAATAAGTTTTCCTAATAATTTGGTTTGGGCAGATGCATTTACGATGCTTTATGATCCAAATGTGTTGGTTTTTGGTGCATGCTAAAAATGTCCCTCTTTCTTGACAGCTCTAGCCCCATCAAGTACTTTTGCACCATCTCAGACGATTTTGGTCGCCAGCCCTGCCAAGATGCAAGCAGCCAATGCTTTAGCTGAGGTGGCCAATGGGATTGAATCAGCTGCTGGGGTGAGTTCACCAGTGGTACTTGATGATTACTGCACCGATATCTATTTCAGACTATTGTTCAACCAGTTGTTTTTATTGTAGAAACAAGAAGCGCCTCCAGCAGTCGTGAGGCCTCCAGTGAAGAAAGAGAATCAGTGGTTTGATGTTGGTTTCGTTAAGGTCACAAACATGGTTGTCACTCACTATTATGTGCCAGCTGACGATTCAGCAGTTACTGATGTAAGTAATTATCAAGTTGATGTTAATGTTGTGTCTTAAAACTATTTCCTTTATTGGAAAAGGAAGTGTTATTTAGCACAAATTGATATACACTATACCTGATTGATATTTATATCGTTAAGGCCGTTAATGTTTACTGTTTAGCCAAACTGATTTAGAAACTGGACTTTTATTTTGAAAGGTTTTTACGGTCTTTTACGGTCTTTATTTAACAGTTCCAATAATATGTCCAATAATAGAAATACAAATTCTATAATATTTGTTACATATAACAACAACATTAGTCAAATATGGATTAATATAAAGTCTATAAAGTAACATCTAATTAAGTCATTACACTTGTCATTAGGGGTGATGCCAATAACCAATAATTCTTTATATTTGAAAGCCGATAACCGATATATTGGCCGATAAATCTAAACCAAAATTTTTATATAATTTTTAGAGCCTGATTACAAAAACAAGTCTCACCATTAAAAGCCATGTCCCAAGCACACAAGTGTAAATATGACAGACTTGCACTGCAAATTTTCCTTAATTGTGATTACTGAGTGCACTGTTGATTACAACTTTAATTATGAAAAATAATATAGATTTAATATAATATAGTAAATTTATACTATAATAATATAGTAAATTATAGTATAATTTATGTAATCAATAATATAGATTGATTACATAAATTTGACAAAGTTGCTGTCTTAAGTATAACTTCAAAATGTAAATAGTTTATTTCTTATTTTGTAAAAATAATATAAACATGTAAATATAAAAGTCTTTTCTCCAAACCGCTTGTCCTCTGTAAGGTGACAGGAATGGTGGAGCTTATCCCAGTGGCTTGAACCAAATAAATATAAATGCAAAACAAATAATGCATGTGTTATTGACTAAATTTTTTTTATTAAATAGTGTGATGTTTAATGTGTGTATATCGGTCAGCTTGCTCTCTAAGATTCCGACATTGGCCTTTAAAAAATCCATACGAGACTACCACTAATCCTCTTGACGTTGCAGGATGATTCTGGCACAATCCCAGACTACAGCCGAATGAAGAAGATCGAACTGTCTCCAGGCACTGCGTACAAGTTTCGCGTGGCCGGTGTCAATGCGTGCGGCCGCGGAACATTCTCTGAGGTCTCTGCGTTTAAAACCTGCTTACCTGGCTTCCCTGGAGCACCGTGTGCCATCAAAATCAGCAAGGTTGGTGACTTCAAAGGGCTTGTGCTTGATCTACATATGGGTTTCTGTTAGATTGTTTGCTTCTATTTATTCCAACACACCTTACTATGTGGCATTTGTCTTGGTGACTGAAATAATTTTTCCTCTCTCTTCAGAGCCCCGATGGTGCCCACCTGACCTGGGAGCCTCCATCAGTAACATCAGGGAAGATCATTGAGTATTCAGTGTATCTGGCCATCCAGAGCTCGCAGACGGTCGAGGCGAAAGCATCTACTCCGGCTCAGCTTGCCTTTATGCGGGTGTACTGTGGTCCCAACCCGTCCTGCCTAGTGCAGACATCTAGTCTCTCCAACGCCCACATCGATTACACCACCAAACCCGCCATCATCTTCCGCATCGCCGCCCGCAATGAGAAGGGCTACGGCCCCGCCACGCAAGTCAGGTGGCTACAAGGTGAGGAAATGTTTTGTTGACACTTTTCACAGACTGTGATGACTTCCACAGTCAACATGGTAAATCTAGGAAAGTTTTTTTTCTATTTTATTTTTCTGAAAATGTTATGTACATTTATAACACTATACTTTGTGTTATATTACCTTTAATCAAAAATAGTGAAAAAATGCTGTGTTTCTAATACAAAGGCTAAGGGAGTGACAGCAAATTTGACATCTTTTTCTCTTTTCTAACAAATGTAATCACCCTCTTGTTTTCCCTCTTTTGAAAGTCAGAAACTATTGTTGTTTTGCAAATGGGAACACAACAAATTTGTTGTTTAAGTTCACCACTATAGAAGTTTAACTAACTATGACAACAACTTCTGAGAACCCCGGAAATGTGAAAAGGGTCTATTAGGGCGTTTTCACACCTGGCTCGTTTGGAGTGTTTTGTGGCTTATGTGAACACGGCAATTGCGCTCAGATCCACACCAAAATAACAGAGGTAGCCTGAATAAGGTGGCCTCGGCCCTATTGCAGCCAGATTCTGGAGCCGGTTCGCTTTAGGTGAGAAAGCAGTCCCACTCAACGGACCAACAATCCAGGCTGTTACACAATATATGATGGGTAACCATTATGTGCATTGCATGAAAAGCAGATGTGTTTGTTTTGCTAATGAATTGTGAGAGCAAAGACGAAGTGAAATGCCTTGTTGAAATTTGGTCGGATAAACATATTTCAGAACAACTGGCCAAAACAAAAATACAGATAAAGCCTTGATTCTTGGTAAAAATGAGAAAGTAATATGACAGCTACAAAGAAAGTCATAATCAGCCCGTGGAGCTGTTGTCTGACCATCCTGACCGCTATGAGCCGAATCCTGAAACATAACCAATTGCACTAGGGCTGTAGTCAACCAAAGAAATCCTTAGTCGACTGATCGTTGCGCAGGACAGGACTTTGGTCGACTAAGGATTTCTTTGGTTGACTACAGCCCTAGTGCAATTGGTTATGTTTCAGGATTCGGCTCATAGCGGTCAGGATGGTCAGACAACAGCTATTTTTTAAAAAAAGAAAGAAAAAAAGACGCGATGTTTTGCATTTTGATTGAACATTTATTAAACAATTGTCATAGAGCATTTATAAAACAACAACGAAAAAACATAAATAATACATACAACTATAATAATAATAATACAATTCTTTGAAAATTAAGTGATTTTTTTAACTGCAAAGTGAGGAGCTCTGTCCTATAGGTCTATAGTGATAGTCACAATCGCGCACCTGACCACACCACACGCTACAAAAAATATAACTGCTAAAACTGCCAAATAATGAAAAATCCTAACAAAAGCTCTCATTTATACAGGCTGTATATTCTTCTTTACTTTCAAAGCTATGGGTTAACTTTTGTCCAGCCGATCTAGGCGTTTTAAAACAAACACAAAAAACCCAAATAGCCTAAAAAACTATCCTAATAATAATAGGCTGTATAGTAGGAAGGCATATAGGTTTATTTTCGTTTTGTTACATTATTTAGGCTATTTTCAAACGCGTCAAGTGTACAAATAAAAACAAAAACATAAGAAAACACAATCTATTGAGTCAGCATAATAAAGCCGTTAAAGTCCCACTCCGATCATATTTTGAGCTATTTTTAAACATTCCCAGTGGTCTTTAAATTATGATTATGCCATTTTTAGCCAAAATCACAAAACCTGTGCCGTTTTCTGGGACTTCGCTTCAGCAGAGCGGCAGTAGCTCATTAGCAATTCGCCTCTGCGTTGTGGGCGGAGCCGTTGGCACGGAGACGCCCCTCCCCCTGCCCGTTGCTGAGAGCTCTGTCTCTCCCGCTAGCTTACACCCCCAATACCGGTGGGGCAACAGTATTATATACACGTTAATTATTATTATCCGAAGTTAATCAAAGTGATCACCGATCATTATTTCACTCCAAGACGTCGCGTGTGGAGACGCCCAGTGGAGTTACTACGTCACAACTCAAGTCTATTTTAGCCGGCATTTTAGCGTCTGCTACTGATTCACAGCCATTCGAATGTAGAAATACTCAGAAATACAACTTTGAGCTTATTTTTCTCAAGATATGTCCTCTAACATCAGAAAAATGCCACAAGAACATGTTAACACCTAGAAAAACATTATTTTCATCGGAGTGGGTCTTTAAAGGGCCTGTTCACATATCGCGTCTAATGGTCGCGTCGTTTTTTTCCATGCGCGTTCGCGCCGCAGCAGCAGTGCAGCCACGGGTGCGGTTCCCGAGTGTTCTACGTGGTGCGCTAAACTGTGGCGCTGTTACAAAATAGCCTAAATTACAGCATTTAAAGTTGGGGATAAAACATTGGCTAATTATATTTAGAAAACAGTAATATATAAATGCTTATAATGGAATAAATATCAAGGAGTAAATCAATGAAAATTTCTTTCTATTGGTAAAAAAAATGCAACTGGTCGACCAATGAGAATGTCAGTCGACCAAGACGGCATCGACCATTAGTCGACTAAAGTTGACAGCCCTAAATTGCACACTGACCAACAGGAAGTTTACTTGCTCTTAACTTCTATTAACTCATTTTGGTTCATTTAAAGATGTTGCCCATTGAAAGCTAACCAAACCAAGAAGAAATCGCACATTGTAACAATTTTAATCCTTGTTTTGGAACAAACCTGATCTACAGGTGTGAAAACGCCCTTAAACGTGTCTTTAATCTGTGGAATGGATAAAAAAAAAACAGTTTTTATTTAAATATTGTTTGCAGAAACCAGTAAAGATGGCTCTGCGGCCAAACCTGCAGCAAAGAGGCCGGTCTCGTCACCTGATATGTGAGTTTGTTGCCATTTAATACCTTTCAAAATGAACAACGCAAGCCTGTCATATCCCAAACCTGATGCGTTTTATTGAAACGAATCATTTCTTTGCCCTTTGCAGGAAAGGCACTGGTCCAAAGAAGGCCAGATCTGACCAGTGAGAGCTCACTGTGACCCCTGACTCCGCCCTCATTATGAGCAGAACCATGACTGAAATCCACTTCCTGCTGAATGACCTTCCTGCTTCCACTTCTCACACCATTCCATCCTCTGCAACGAAATGGAAGGAAACTGCAGCCAAAAAAAGGAAAACAGTTTGTTTCCATTTGAGAAATCTGCTCCCATCACTGGACATTTTGGTGCCATGGACGCCTTATTTCCAACTGTATTTTTAAAAAAAACACATAAATGTTCCTCCTCAAAAGCACATACATTTGCTTTCCTGACAATTTTGTGTAAAGAGATTCCAATGGCAGCGTTCAGTCTCATTATAACTGTATTATCAGATATTCAATCTTTGTTTTCCTCCCTTGATATTCTTTTTTTTTTAAGCTTATTTCAATACAAGCAATAGATAAACAGAAAAATAACTTTGCTCTTGTCAGTTTGTCGATGATTTCATTATTTGGCCGAGTCTGTGTTTCAAACGTGCTGAAAGGAGACTGATATACGGAAGAGGGAGTGCGGATGACAAAACGGCGCCGGGGAAACATCAAAATAAAATGAAAACTAACAGCACTTGGTGATGCTTGTGAGGGAAAAGACTCAGTTCATTCAGAGAATCTGTAATTATTCATTCACTTCGAGTTCAGTAGCCTGTTTTTCATCACTGTGTGTTCATACATTTGCTGTGAGGGACAATTGAGGACTGCAACGCTGAAGACTAAAAGGACTTCAATCTATGTAGATGAAAAGCATACTACTTTTGCATTGCGTCAACCAGATCTTGTATAAAGAGAGAGGAAAAAAATCCCCAAAAATAGTAAATGATTGATACAGGAGTTCTTTGTGTGTGGTTTATTTTTGTATTTTAAAAAAAAAAAAGGGTTTTCCTCATTGTGTGCTTCAGGGCAGTTTTAAACCTCACACCTGTTCATCGCTCATTCCTGCTGTCTCCATGCTTATGGATTTGACACGGGCTTGTCTAAGGGCCACAGTGTTTCACATCCCATGTTCATGTCATGAATCTTTATTTTGGGAATTGTAGTGTAAAATATATGTATTTGTTCTGGACAATGACCCACTTTTGACATGTTTGATGCTTCCTCCACCCTTTTTTCCTCAGCATTTTTTGGCGTTTATAGGATCCTGCTGCAGAAAAAAAAAAACTTCTCCCCCCTTCTTGTCAATAGTCTACATTTCCTGTAAATTTGCTTTTCTGAATCTCATTTCTTTTATATGCTTGGTTTTGTGAGTTGATGGATACGAATTGGGATTCTCAAGCTGTGCAGCAAAAGTTTGAACCATTTCCATTCTCTGCGGACTGTTTGGACTTTTGGAGATAATGTTTAGGGATGCAGGCCTGTGTAAATGCTAAATAGGTGGAAATTAAGGAGAGGTTTTGAAGAGTTTTTTTTTTTTTTTTTTAATGGAAGGTAGAAACAGTTTGTTCCTGTTTCTAGTAGTTGGAAAAAGATGGATTGTTGGCTTAGCCAGAGTTTGAGCTCCGTTGTAAATTAGTTCTTTCACGTAGCAAGACTTAAAACAAAAATCTCTTTGCCTTTTTTATATAATTATCTGTAACAAAATGTTTTTACATGTTGTCATCTATTGATTGCTTTTGTGTCTTGACATATAAAAGTAATGGAATTCTGTCTCTGTGTTCATTCGTCTTGTTTTGCCTGCTGTTAATTTAGCGTTTTTGTCATTTGTGTCGCTAATTGTGTCTTATTGTCTTGTTTTAATAAATGTTATGTACAAGAAATATAGATGACCACCAAGAGATTAAAGATTAAATGAATCAAGAAAACGAAGAGAAGTGGCTTTGGGATTTTAACATCAACTTTACTCATTCAGAACAGTAAGTCATTTTTTTTTGTATTGAAAATGTACTGTATTTTACCTCATGTCTGTTAACATTTATTTTGCTTAAGACTTTGAGTCATGAGTGTACAGCATATATTTAGAGAATGGTTGGACAAAATTGGGTTTAAACTAGTGCTGTCAAATCAATGAATCCCATCTAACATAAAAGGTTTTGTTTACATAATTTGTGTGTATATTATATATGTCTGTGTGTATGTGTATATATATAAACATTATGTGTCTGTATATATATATACAGACGCACACATAAAATATATAAATATAAGATATACACATTATGTAAAAAAAAAACCTTATGTTAGATGTATTAATCGCAAATAAATCGATTTGACAGCACTAGTTTAAAGAATCAATCAGCTTTTAGTCACGTTTTTACGGGAAATGCATAACGTATATATTTACTATTGTGCTCAGCTTTTCAACTCTGGAGCCATTTGTTCGATACAAATTCATAATATTTTGCGTTACTTTCAAAATACTGGCATACGAATGTAAATCAACTCTCAAGCAATAGCTGAAAATATTTGTACAGTAAGCGCAATCAATTCTGATTGGTCCATCCATACTTGCGCTAAAAATGTAATGTGCCTCCAGGATCAGACCGCTCGAAATTTAAAATCAATTTAATTTAAAACATTTTTTTTATTTGTTCGTTTTTAGCTGGAAGATCATTTTTAGTCCGCTTTTATTTGCGTGGTTGGTAAGAATAAGTCACAATGGTCACAATACGTGGTCGTTCTAATAAGATTTTTGTCTTCGCTAGCTTGCCGTACGGAAACGGTCTTCATGGCAACTGCCATCAGCTGCAGCGGAGCGTCATCGGATTCTACCACAGATCTCTTCTAAACAATCCTCAATCTCGCTATTGTTTCCATTCAGTTATTATTTTGCTCTGTTACGTTGCTGAATATTTGCCAGTGTGTGAATGGAAAACAAAGGTACATTTCTGCTTTGCTACTCGGCTAGTTGTCCAGCAGTGGAATGGATCAGTACAGTATTCTGGGTCGGATTGGGGAAGGAGCTCACGGGATTGTTTTCAAAGCCAAACACATCGAGGTAAGACCGTGTACACCTGCATTCATCCTGTGTGAAGGATAGTAACTCTGTATCTTACTACATGCCTCTGCACCGCTTTATCTGTTGATGTTTTCAGACAGGAGAGACAGTGGCTTTGAAAAAAGTCGCTTTGCGAAAACTTGAAGATGGTATTCCAAACCAGGCCCTGAGAGAAATCAAAGCCCTTCAAGAGATTGAGGACAACCAATATGTGAGTGAGACAGACATACTGATCACTGGACACTTGTGTAGTGAAGATGATCTCTTTTGCAACTCGCATTGGGGAAAAATGATTTTGTAATCATATTTATGACATGAAATGAGACGCACTATTAGTGGAAAGTCAAAATTGATAATGAAAAGTCGAAATTAAGGCATACTAATTGACGAGTCATTTTTGAGATAAAAGTCATAATTATGATAAAAGTTTGAAATTATGACATACTAAGTCAATTATGACATACTAAGTCAATTATGACATACTAAGTCAATTAAGACATGAATTGAAATTATGACATTTTAAGTCATGACATAAAAAGGCATATTTACAAGATTAAAGGGTTCACCCAAAAATTTAAATTATCCCATAATTTACTCACCCTCAAGCCATCCTAGTTGTATATGACTTTCTTCTTACCAGCTTTATAATGGGAGTTTTTGAAGCTCTAAAAAAGCGCATCTATCCATCATAAAAGTAATCCATATGGCTCCAGGGGGTTACTTGTGATAAAGGCCTTCTGAAGCGAAGTGATGCATTTTTGTAAGAAAAATATCCATATTTAGAACTTTTTTGTCATTATTGTGACTTTCATCTTAAATTGAATCTTGTCAAAATCTTTGTTTGTGGCGAAAATGGGCTTCCATTCTGTGATGATTTGGATATACACAATCATTTATATTTTCATCATTTGATCTAGACATACTTTTATTTGTGATTTTAACCATCTCTACAGGTGGTGAAGCTGAAGGATGTCTTCCCTCACGGCACAGGCTTTGTTCTGGTGTTTGAGTACATGTTATCTGATCTGTCAGAAGTCATTCGGAATTCCCAGCGTCCTCTCACCGCATCCCAGGTCAAAGGTTACATGGTGATGCTGCTGAAAGGAGTGGCTTTCTGCCACGAGAACTCTATTATGCACAGGGTGAAGCTGTGTTCCTTATCATTAGATTTGTCCCCATATAAATCTGTGCTTTACTTTACACGTTCCTTTTTTATCAGTGCTCTAAATGTTTTTTTGCGTGTAGGATCTGAAGCCTGCAAATCTTCTAATCAGCTCAACGGGTCACCTGAAGATTGCTGACTTTGGTCTGGCGAGGCTCTTTTCAAATGAAGGAGATCGTTTGTACAGTCACCAAGTGGCCACCAGGTGATAGTTTACCTTAAGGGTTTCTTCGGCCTAAAATGAAAGTTAACCCATCATTTGCTCACTCTGGTGTTGTTCTAATACTGTATGCTCTTTCTATTTCGGACCACAAAAGGAGATAAAAAAAAAAATGTTATTGCTCACGCTCGTCCATATAATGGCAGTGAATAGTAAGCTTTTAAAAAAAGTGTCTCATATCCGAGTGTTCTGGAGGAATACGATAGGGTTTGGTGTTCAACAAGCTGAAATTGAATGTATTATTGTATTATGTAGAAATCCTGACCTTGACCGCTGGTCTTCTGTGCATGGAACGCGTTTATGATGACGCTTTATTAGCGCCGCTGTTCACTCCGACTGACGCAGAAAAAGCACACAACTTGTGAGAAATCAAGGTTAATACAAACGCTACATGAAATGCATACAATCTATGTACTTTCTTCTTAGATGTGAATCCACTGTGTTTGTCGCAACAAGATGTTATTATCGCGTTCAGATTTGTCTACTGTCATTCTGACTGTCATCTGACAACCAACATCCCGGTCTGGAGATTTTACATGTAGCGTTTGTATTAATCTTGATTTCTCACAGCTTTTGTGCTTTTTCTGGGTGAGTCGGAGTGAACTGCCGTGCTAATAATGTGTCAGGAACGTATACTCACCAAAGGATTATTAGGAACACCATACTAATACTGTGTTTGACCCCCTTTCACCTTCAGAACTGCCTTAATTCTACGTGGCATTGATTCAACAAGGTGCTGAAAGCATTCTTTAGAAATGGTGGCCCATATTGATAGGATAGCATCTTGCAGTTGTTGGAGATTTGTGGGATGCACATCCAGGGCACGAAGCTCCCGTTCCACCACATCCCAAAGATGCTCTATTGGGTTAGATCTGGTGACTGTGGGGGCCATTTTAGTACAGTGAACTCATTGTCATGTTCAAGAAACCAATTTGAAATGATTCGAGCTTTGTGACATGGTGCATTATCCTGCTGGAAGTAGCCATCAGAGGATGGGTACATGGTGGCCATAAAGGGATGGACATGGTCAGAAACAATGCTCAGGTAGGCCGTGGCATTTAAACGATGCCCAATTAGCACTAAGGGGCCTAAAGTGTGCCAGGAAAACATCCCCCACACCATTACACCACCACCACCAGCCTGCACAGTGGTAACAAGGCATGATGGATCCATGTTCTCATTCTGTTTACGCCAAATTCTGACTCTACCATCTGAATGTCTCATATACAGAAACAGAAATCGAGACTCATCAGACCAGGCAACATTTTTCCAGTCTTCAACTGTCCAATTTGGGTGAGCTCTTGCAAATTGTAGCCTCTTTTTCCTATTTGTCAAGTCAAGTCAAGTCACCTTTATTTATATAGCGCTTTTTACAATACAGATTGTATCAAAGCGCTTCACAGTGATAACATGAAAACAATATAACAAAGTTTGTTTCTAAAAGAAATTGCGTCAACGTCCACCTTAAGTAAGGCAGATCAATAATATTAAATGTTAAATGTCCCCAACTAAGCAAGCCAAAAGCCAAGGCAACAGTGGCAAGGAACCAAAACTCCATCAGGTGACAGAATGGAGAAAAAAACCTTGGGAGAAACCAGACTCAGTCGGGGGCCAGTTCTCCTCTGGCCAACGAAGGAACAGTGCATGATTCGGGCAGCATTACAAGTCAGATTGGATCGGAACATTTAGAGTATTTTTTGGAAGTCCAAGTATGCACGCCGGTCTTAAGACGAGTTGATGAGGATCAGTGCCGTCCACCATAGAGAGTCCATATCGCCCGTGCTGAGTCGTCACTTCATAGGCTTTGTGATTGGAGCATCTGAAGTCTCCGTGAGAGGCTGGATACAAACTGGAGCTGATGAACGCCATTTTCTCGGGACTCGCGTCCCGAGATAACAGCAGAAAAGCAAAGGGAAAATAATTAGCGTAGCTGCTGTTCATAATGATGATTTCCATAACACAGGCGTAAATGACAAAACATGAAGACAGTGACTCTTGCGTCCCAAAATCGACCCCCTCCGTCCCCCACTCAACTCAGCCCAGCTTACTAACCTCTACGTCCCTCCTGCTGCTGAGACCTAACCACAATCTCACAATCTCTCCGCAACCCAACCATACGCGCCACCCCGTTGACTAAGGCTGTCGAGCCCCACTGGTGCGTGAATAGGCAGTTTCAGTGGACAACGGTTCCGTATGGCATACTACCTACCGCAACACAATATCTGCCCAACCACCCGTCATTCACGCAATATACAGGAACGTAATGACTGCAAATACTATGCAACCTATACAGATAACCTACAGTCTCTTCAAGTTTTATAGTATTAAATGCATTTGATCTGATTCAGCAGTATTATAAAAGGTAAGCATTATGTAAATGCTTGGCTAAAAAGATGCGTCTTTAATAATTTGTAGTGGAGATGAGTGGTACCCGGTGGGGTCTTCTGCTGTTGTAGCCCATCCGCCTCAAGGTTGTGCGTGTTGTGGCTTCACAAATGCTTTGCTGCATTCCTCGGTTGTAACGAGTGGTTATTTCAGTCAAAGTTGCTCTTCTATCAGCTTGAATCAGTCGGCCCATTCTCCTCTGACCTCTAGCATCAACAAGGCATTTTCGCCCACAGGACTGCCGCATACTGGATGTTTTTCCCTTTTCACACCATTCTTTGTAAACCCTAGAAATGGTTGTGCGTGAAAATCCCAGTAACTGAGCAGATTGTGAAATACTCAGACCGGCCCGTCTGGCACCAACAACCATGCCACGCTCAAAATTGCTTAAATCACCTTTCTTTCCCATTCTGACATTCAGTTTGGAGTTCAGGAGATTGTCTTGACCAGGACCACACCCCTAAATGCATTGAAGCAACTGCCATGTGATTGGTTGATTAGATAATTGCATTAATGAGAAATTGAACAGGTGTTCCTAATAATCCTTTAGGTGAGTGTACACCGTGCACAGTAGACCAATGGCCAAGGTCAGGATTTTCGTTAAAAAATACATTAGATTTCTGTTTGTTTTTTACTAAACCCTATCTTATTCCTCCAGAACCCTTGGGATAGGCATGTCACATGGAATCATTCTGTGATACTTCTGCATCTTTTTTTAAAAGCTTGATACAGGACGCTATTCACTTCCATTATATGGACGAGCACAAGATTTTGTTTAATTTCTCCCTTTGTGGTCCCAAAAAGAGAGAAATGCATACGGCATTAGAACAAAACCAGGGTAAATGATGACTTAATTTTCATTTTAAGGTGAACTATCCCTTTAAAGTCAAATCTATATGTTCTAGCTTGAACCCAAAGCCTAAATCATATGGCTAAAAATGTGTTGTGCTGTGTTTCAGATGGTACAGAGCACCAGAACTTTTGTATGGTGCCAGAAAATATGATGAAGGAGTTGATCTCTGGTAAGAATCTTAAGAATGATATTCTCAGTTTATTCACAAAGTCGACATGAATCTAAAATTTACATTTGGAATATTGCTGAGTTTATTATAATTAATAAACATCGACTGTGCCCCGCCCTACATTTTTTCTTGTTAGAGAAGCCGTTTCACTCAGATGTACGTAACATGAGTCCTTTTCACAGACTGTGATGACCAGTTTTCATACTTCATACTTTCATAATTTATACTTTTATAACGCTCTACATTGGGTTATATTACCTTGTCAGTAAATGAAAAAAATAATAATAATCAGTGCTGTTTCGAGGGTTTATAACACTATACTTTTACATTTATAACACTATACTTTGTGTTATATTACCTTGCTATTTAATTAAAACTAAAATTGCTGCTGGTGCATGAGTGTTTCTAAACCAACGACTTGAGAGAGTGACGGCAAATTACACATCTTTCTCTCTTCTGACCAATGTAATCAATCTCTCTGTATTTTTTCTCCCTTTTGGAAAGTATTACAGATTTTTCTTTTGCTATTGGACCAAATGGAAATACAAAAATGTATATTTTCTGTCATCCCTTATTCACCGCCATAGAAGTTTACCCAACTATGATGACTTAGAACTGAGAACCCTGGAAATCCAAAAGGGTCCATAGATAAGTTTCTATTTCATGCTGCCTTCAAACCTGGGAGATTTCCTAATTTACAAAAATGATTGAGTAAATCAATTGTTACTAATAACACTCATTCAAGGTGTACATTTTATAATTTTTTATACATTTTATTAGCAAGTACTAGTATTTATCAGTTCTATCTATTTCTATCCTTTTTATAATCAGGTATAATTACTGTAAAAATATCCAGTGTTATTTCTATGCAAATTCATGACTTTCTAAAACATTCAGGTAATAAAATGTTATTAAAAAAATCACTGAACTACATAAAAGAATGAATTTGAATATCCAATGTGTTATGCAATTCTTCAGTCTGTAAATGTGAAATGAATAGTTTAAAATTGTGTCTAATGTCCGGTCTTATAATGCATTACCATTGAATAAAAAAAATCGTATTCTTATGAAAGCAAATATTCCCTACTGAGGCTTTTTTGTGGAGAATTTTCTCTTGCCTGAAGCTTCACTAGATGGCAGTAGTGCTCATTCTACATTCAGCTGGTGTCACAGTGTTTCCTCTGGCTTGTTTCAGGGCAGTAGGCTGCATTTTCGGGGAGCTGTTGAATAACTCTCCACTTTTCCCGGGAGAGAATGACATTGAGCAGTTGTGCTGTGTGCTCCGAGTGCTGGGAACTCCCAACCAGAAAGTTTGGCCCGTGAGCTCTCGCTTAACATTCACTGCGCCTGTTTAGTATGACACGATGCACAACTGTTCTCCTAAAGGTTTTGTGTTGATGTACCAAATCTAGGAAATAACAGACCTACCAGACTACAATAAGATCACATTTAAAGAAAACCCACCTATTCCTTTGGAGGAGATTGTACCTGACACGTCACCACAAGCTGTGGACCTCCTGAAGAAGTTCCTTGTCTATCCGTCCAAACAGAGGATCAGTGCTACTCAGGTGCACATGTGCAGTTTAGTACAGATTGATTCAGTAACTCCAATGACACTAATAATGCCCTGTCCGTTTCCTCAGGCTTTGCTCCATCCGTATTTTTTCACGGACCCTCTCCCGGCTCATCATTCAGAGCTCCCCATCCCACAGCGCGGAGGAAAGCACTCCAGACAGCGCATGCAACCGCCTCACGAATTCACAGTGGATCGACCCTTACACGAGAGCTTGGTGGACCCGAGTCTGATCCAAAGGCACGCGTGGAGTTGTTTGTGAAATCTCGGGGTTTGTACTCTTTCAAACCAGGAAGTGGCCCATTAAGTCATGCTCATTTGTTTCATGTTTAAGGACAAAACGTTCAAAGTATTTATTATAATATACAGAAATAGGCTATATAATATAGTTTTTTAAAATATACTTTAAGTGAATTTCAAATGGCGTGTGTAAATTTCATGGTACATGTTTACATTTCTTGAAATATTTCTGTTTAAGTTTGTACGGTTTGTATTTCACTATACACATTATAGGAGTAGCTTATTTGAATTGATTGCATCTCAAGCTGTATTACTTACTCCAATTCAGTGGAACCGTAAAATGAATATGAAAAAAAACAAAACCTTCTTCCTTCTTGCTCAACAACCATTAACCTTATCGTTTAACACCAGCCAGTGTAAATGAACCGATCTGGGTTTTTATTCAGTTAGGCGTAACTTTATACATTGATCAGATTGTAACAAATGTACTAGAACAGGTCTGGTCATGCAGTTTAGAGCAAAAAGGACAAATCATCAGGTAACTAGATTTTATTCAAAAGGTTTGGGGTCAGTAAGATTAAATAATAATAGTAATACTTTAATTCAGCAAGGATGTATTTAATTAATCAAAAGTGAAAGTAAAACAGCACAACTTTTTTCTTGAGCATCAAATTATCATATTAGAATGATTTCTGAAGGATCATGTGACACTGAAGACTGGAGTAATGATGCTGAAAATTCAGCTTTGCATCACTGGAATAAATTGCCTTTTAAATTGTAATAATATTTCACAATATTACTGTTTTTACTGTATTTTTGATCAAATAAATGAGCAGAATATAAATTTGCTGAGCAGAACAGACTTCTTTCAAAAACAACCCTTGTTAATACAGTTAATATTATATTAATACAGAACCATTCTACCTTTTAAATGATCATTACATTGTTGAAAAGCCGTGGAGGAAACTAGCCTTATCGGTGAACATGCAAACGCCTAGTTTCTATTAAAAGTGCTATATGCGGTCTTATCATTGTTTTATAGATTTTTCTTAATTGTTTTGAACCACTGACACAGTCATAGTCGTAAATCACTTGTGCAAATACAACACCACACAACATCTCCCTCACAGGTGGATGCAAATAGTGTAACTGTAATGTGAAATTAACATGGAATCAACATTGGCATTAGGGTAAATAAACTCTAAACCAGAACAAAACGGAAGTGGTGCATATCTGTCATCTTTTTTATTGTAGTAGTCTGTTATACTTTACATTTTTTAGTTAAACAACAGACTCTTTAACACAGGATGATTCACCACCTTCAAACCGAACGAGCAAAAGGAAAGAAAACGGTTCGCTTTGATTAACAAATGACTTCCACAGCGCTGCTCTGTCTGCATGTGGCCAGGCTGTGTCTTTAGAATGATTGCAGCATTTGTCTCTATTTGCATCTGTGCAATCAGCTCAACTGTCCTCGTGTGTTACATATTAAGCTGTGCTTTGCATCTTTTATTGGCTCCACTTTCCCTTTTGTTCCATCACTTGGTTGGCTTTTTTTTTTTTTTTTTTTAATTGGTTAAAATTTATAGAGCTTATAGTAAGTTTAGTTAAAATTCACATTTAATTTTAATTCTGTCATTTACTCACTATCATGTTATTCCAAAACTATGAGTTTCACTCTTTTGGGGAACAGTGTTTTTTTTGTTGTTCATACAATGAAAGTGAATGGCCTCCAATGTTGTTTGGATGCCAACATTTTTCAGAATATTTTAATTTGTGTTCAACAGTAGAAAGTCAGTTATACAGGTTTGCATTGGGGTAATAGAGTAAATGATGACAGAATTTTCATTTTGGGGTTATTTCTTTATACGTTTGTACTTTCTATATTTATGTATTTTATTTATATTTAATTTTATTAATATTTTCAATTAGGTTGTTAATTTAAGATAATTTTTTGTATTATTTTATGGGGGTTTTTCATGTTATTTGTTTACTATTATTTAATATGGCTATTTAGGTTTGTTTGTTTTTATTTATTTTCGGTTAATAATTTATTTAATAGCAGTGTTTCAACTTTAACTAAACAAAATTTTTTATATATAATAAAATAATAAACTGAAATAAGTTTAACTTTTTCAACTTATATTTACATTTTATTTTATTTCAGCTTTATTTCAATTAACAGAAACAAATAGTTTATATACATAAAACACTGTTCCACAGAAGAGGAGAAAGTCATGTGTGTGTGTATATATATATACATGCATGCATGCGCATACACACATTTTTGATTGATCTGAGTAGTTGGTCTTGGCCTTTTTGCTCTTTGTTTGCTTTGCATATTTGTTATTGTAATTTGCAATGCAGACTTTTAGTTGTTTTTCAAATTATGTGGGATGTTTCTAGACTTTTTTTTTGTGCATTTGCACTTATGAGGCACCACATTTGCTGAAGTGGACCTGTCTTTGGCCCCACCCACTGTATCCACTTGTGTAACCTCAATCACCCACAATGCCAGAGCTCAGAAATCTTCATACATAAAGTTCTGGCCATCAGCAGTGCTCACCTTCATCACAGACACCTGTTCTGCAGACTGAACAGATAAGCTCAGGTATGCCTCATTATGATCTACATTACCATATCTACAGCCAGATTAGCAAATCAAAAAATGCTTGTGATGCTTATCTTGTTTTTAGAGTAATTTGATTTAAACGTATTCTCTGTTAAATGGAAAGTTGTGACTGACATTGCTGTTGAGTTTTGTGTTGTGCACTTCAAACCAGTATCACTTATTTATTAAAGATACTGTTAGAAGAGTTTGTTTGCTTTTGAACGCATGGATTTTGTGAGAATCTGACTTAAAATATTTAAATGTTCTTGTGTTCATAGAATAAATATTATTGTGATTGCAGTTTGATTCCGAAACACATTCAGAATGTATTTCTCAAATGTATTTTTTATATAGCCTTTAAACTGATGATATTCTATTACAATTATTAAAACTATTAAGTAATACACATAATGCTATTAAAATGTCGTCTTGTTCTTATTGGCACAATTAAGGCATAATTTGGATGATTTCCTGCATTGCACCCCACTTTAACGTGCCAATTCAAAAATAAATATATATGAATATATTATTATATACACAAGATTGTCCATGTTCATTAATTTTCCATAATGAATCATCTCCTTGTCATGCAGTACAAAAGGTGTTGCTGATAGACATGGAGAGCTCCGTTGAGCAGACTCGCTGGGTATCATCCTCCATGTTGGCATCAGAGGTGATGCCCACTTACCCTCCTGACTCCAGCTATCTGGTCCACACTGAGGAGGGCTCGATGTTCCCCTGCACTGATGCGGATCACAGCGGCTTGCCCTCTGTGTTCACCAGCCCCATCCATGGCCGCCCATCTGGAGCTTTTCAACACAGCCCAGGTCAGTGACCCAGCGCACCATCAAAAAAGTATTGTGGTAGTATCATGGTACTTTGATATACCTACTGTTTTCTGTTTGAATATATTTTCAAATTAATTTTATTCCTGAATTTTCAGCATCATTACTCTAGTCTTAAGTCACATGATCCTTCAGAAATCATTCTAATATGCTGTTTTGCTGCTCAAGAAACGTTTCTTATTATTATCAATGTTGAAAACAGTTGTGCTGCTTAATATTTTTGTGGAAACAGTGATACATTTGTTTTCAATATTTGTTGATGAATAGAAAGTGCAAAAGAAGAGCATTTATTTTGTAAAATTATAAATGTCTTTACTGTCACTTTTTATCAATTTAACGCATGCTTGCTAAATAAAAGTATTAATTTCTTTAAAAAAAAAAGCTCACTGAACCTAAACTTTGGAACAGTAGTGTATACTGTACTGTAGCACTGGAAAGTTACCATATTCATATACCATGATCAAAAGCTTATAAATAGTTTAAAAAGGACCCTCTAGTACAGAGAAATTAAATGTGAAAGTATGGGACTGTGTCAGTAAGTCAAATTATCTAGCCATAAAGTGAGTGAAACTAAAACTTTTCCTGATTTAATTGTGCTTTAGTAACTTTGATGCACCAGCTATTATCAAATTATCAAATCCCAAGCTAATATATTAAAACTCATTTCATAAAAAGCACGGGTTAGATTTCACATGCATGGTCATTAACATGTCCTTAACATGAAAAAAAAAATGTTTCTAGTTGACTCAAAACGGCATCTACATTAAACTTTTATTTTTGAAATGTAAGTGATACAGTTGAAGTCATTTTCTTTTACTCTTATAAGTAAATCTAAATAATATATACTTACTCATACCAGTTTACATTTATGCAGTTTAATATGCAGAGAAGTCATTTAATGGTTCTCCTTAAAAGTATAAATTCTATGTCTCTGTGGTGCTATCAAAACGCTCTTTTTAACTCTAGAAACTTGTCATTTTCCTGATTTCAGTTGCTTTCTTTAAGTATTCCTCCCTCTCTTCCTCAGTATATCCCGTTTACTCCTCTCCATTCCTCGGCAACCTGTCCTGGCTTGAAGGTTCAAACGGATTCCCATCATCCCCATCGTCCTGGCATGGCAGTGCATTTTCCAAGACGTCCTCCCCGTCCTTCCATGTCTCCGCGTCCCTCACCTCTGCCAGACCGCCTCGTTCGGCCCTTCCCTCCCCTCCCCTGGACCAGAAGGAGAGTGTGAAAGGAGAGAGATTGAGTCCTCCTGGAGGAGGTGAGGCACTTGGCGGGATGTTCCCTCTAAACCCTTCAGTGAGCGGTGTGTATGCTCACACACACTCCTCAAAAGCACACTCGCAGTCACTGGCCCACATCAGTCCCTACGGGAGCTTCACGCAAGATTACAACAGTTCATCTCTCTACGCTCCCTCATCCTTCTCACCCAAATTATGCAGCAAGATGAGATTCTCCCCTTTAGGTGAGGAAGTATCATAGCAGGCAGGTAATGTGGGGTGGCGCTGGTGTTGTCCTAGAGTCAAACCTTTCATGATGTGATTGTGTGTAATATAGCTGAATATAAAAGGTCTGCAAAGTTCACGATACATTGAGTTATTGTCTCCCAAAAGAAAGAATCGATTCTGAACTGCCTGAGTCGTTCGGTACTACTACAACTACTACAAGTCGTTCGTAATTCCAGTCTTACTTCCTGCTCAAACATACATAGGTTTGTTACAAATTTGCATGGTCGTCTTTGGCCGCCCATCAACAACATCTATTTTGACCCTCATACTCTGTACGGTAGTTGTAGCTGAGGCCAGGAATAGTTTGGTTCGTGTTGTTGACATGTCGAGAAGACGCCGTTTTCTGCACTTCCAATGATTGACGACTCCGGCTCGAATTGATACGGTAAAACCGACGGCATCGTTGCTGTTCGTATCACTGTAACTAGTGCTGAGGAATCCAGATATGATAATGAGCATTTACTGTGAGGCACGTGCTGTAAGCTGTCGACCAATCACAACAGACTGGGCCATCTGACCAATCAGAGCGGAGTAGGTTCTTGGAAAGGAGGAGTTTAGAAAGACTGAATCCTTGATCAAACCGGTTTTTAGACACTTTGAGAAAAGATGCTGCAACGTATATTATGAGAAAATTAAAGTGTTTTTTGACTTTGGATTAATGTAAACATATTGTAGGAAAGGTACAAAACAAAATTAGGAACCTCTAAAATAGCATCCAAACGAACGACACAAAATACAGAACAATTAGAACTTTCCCATCCCAACAAATATAATAAATACATTTTAAAAAGTAAACAATTTTAGTAAAAATGTGTTTGCACTGACAGGGAACTCATTATTTTAAATATTATATTATATATAAATAAGATTTACTGTCAGTGACCCATAAAGACTTTTAACTCCAGAAGAACTGAAGGTTAAAAGGTTCGTATGGGTTCTTCAGATCAGCACATTGGTTTCTGAAATCTATTCATAGTTTCACATGATGTCACATTCTTAAATGAACGTCCACCTGGAGGGTTATCTTTACCAGGTGCTAATGTACTAAGAGAGTGATATTAAAACACCAAATTCAGTGTACATCACTTTTCCCATAGAAAATCATTATTAAAAAAAATGGTTGATGAAATTACAGGACCAAATTCAAATTCTTACTAACGAAACAAATCCAGAAAATGAATGCAACGCGTTTCAAGTTAAGCATTTTCCCATAGAAATCCATTATAAAGAAAATTTAGCTCTTTGCGTTTATATTGAATTAGATTTCTTTTTTTAATCACCGTCTTAGTACATTAGGGCTGGTGCTGAATAACTTGGAGTTTGTTAACATATCTTTGTTTTTCTTCAAAATATTATAATATTCAGGTGATCTATAGATGTTTTGCCTATCTGTTTTTTTTGTGCCAGTCACATGACTAAAAACTAATAAAGCACCAGTACATAGATGGCTTACTAAAGAACTAAAAAAAAAGTTCTTTGTGGGAAATTAAACAGGTTCTTGAATGACATTAGTCTGTTAGCATTCTAACTGGAACCTTTAGAGTGTAAGTTTCACTGTGTATTTTTGTTAAATATGCAAATTAAACATCGTCTCCAATCTTTTGTGGTGACAGATACGCGTGAGTGTGTGAACTGTGGGGCCACTGCCACCCCTCTGTGGCGGCGCGATGGAACGGGCCACTACCTCTGCAATGCCTGCGGACTGTACCAAAAGATGAACAGACAGAACAGGCCTCTCATCCGACCCAAAAAGAGACTGGTACACCTCACTGATACTCAGTTCACTGATAATCAAGAGTTCTGTCAGGACCACTATCGTCAAATACGATTGACAATTAGCATACCGTTTGGATTGGTGGTATGGTTCCGTTCTGGGTGAGAACTCCCTGCATCCCTAGCATGGATAAGAGCAGCAATAACCCCCCTTAGGGTAAACAGAACAGAACCATGAATGTATGCAGATATCATTAATTCAAGATTTTAAAGTACAACATAAATCGAGAATTTATTCTAATTCAAGGGGAATCAGAATGGGACGGGGCGAGAGGAGGAGCTGGGGATGGAGGAGGGTAATCAGGTCCTGAAAAACGCGATAGCTGCGGATAATACTGAAGGAGCTTATATATGTACACAGTGATAGGCGTCGTGTTCCTATAGGTGGATCAGCTGACGCGAGCTTGACTAACGTGACCTGCCAGAACTGCCGCTACGCTTGATAGTTTACAAAGAAGGCTACATTCATTTGATCATAAATACAGTAAAAATGTAATATTGTGAAATATTATAACAGAACTGTTTTCTATCCTAATTTATTAAAAAAAAAAAGATTTATTCCTGTGATGCAAATCTGAATTTTCAACATCATTACTCCTGTCTTCAGTGTCACATGATCCTTCAGAAATCATTCTAATATGCTGATTAGCTCCTAATATTATCAATGTTGAAAACGGTTGTGCTGCTTAATATTTTTTGTGGAAACCGTGATACATTTGTTTTGCAGGAATCTTTGATGAATAGAAAAGTGTTTATTTAAGATGGAAATCTTTTTGTGACATTTCTTTCACTTTTCTGTCACTGGTCATAAGACGTAGAGTGACTCTAGCCTTCGTCTCTCTTTCTGTAGGTCATCAGTAAGCGAATAGGAACTCAATGTGCGAACTGCCAGACCAGCACCACCACACTGTGGAGACGCAACGCCAGCGGAGAGCCCGTGTGTAACGCTTGCGGACTCTATTTCAAGCTTCACAATGTGAGCAATTTCACCCATTTTACTTGACTGTTTTTGTATGAAAATGCCAAAACCTTATTTGGTTAATTTAGTAAAAGCTGATTTGTATCATTTTAGTGGACGAATTTGTGTTGACACTCAAAACCTAGCAGTACATTTTTGGCAGCATTTGTGCTGTTACCTGATTTGCATAACTACTTTTTGTGGATCCAGATCCAAACCCCAATGAATTCCTACTTCCTGGAATTCTGTGGCACTTTCAAAACATCATGTGTCAACATTTCAACTAACCTTTTTCCACCAATTTCAACCCATTTGTCATTATTTTTCCCAATTCCAATTGGTACAGCTAATGGCACAGGAATCACACATAGCAGCTCTAAAGGTGCTGTATGTAATTTGTTGACTGTACTAAAGCATACAAATACCATAATATGTTTGAAAACATTTAGAAAACATGCTAAGTTCACATAGTTGTTTCCCTAAAAATCAATGCTACAGCCAGTTATTTTACTTTGAAAATGTGCGTTCCGTGTTGAAAAGTCTGTTTTTGTTTTGATCCGTGTGAATCCGCCCACTGCCAATTCACCCAATAGTATTTCAACTCTCCGGGTTTCCACCTGGAGGAAAACACAACATATTGCAGTCATTGAAGCGAGCAAACGAACTCAGTGCAACGAATTGGCAGTGCATTTTCCAAGACGTCCTTCCTTGTCTCCACGTCCCTCACCTCTGCCAGAAGTCAGATATTGCAGATTCTACCTGACCTAAAAAAGCCTCGGCATCCATCTGAAAGTCTCTATGAACGGGAGCATACTAAAACGCGGATAAATCAACTCATCAGCTTACAGTGTGTAAGTCTCTTCACCTTCCAATGTCAATTGCGCTCGCTCCTGTTGCGTGTCCTCAATCTGGAAACCCGCGTGAGCGTCGAGTCTGAGCAGGACGGGGGAAACAACTCTCTCCAATATTTTGAATTTGGACTGCAGTACCTATTTCAACCACTAACTGTCAATATTCCATACTGCACCTTTAACTGCAATTTTGTGCTTAAAGGGATAGTTCACCCAAAAATGATAATTCTGTCAGTAATTACTCACCCTCATGTTGTTCCAACCCCGTAAGACGTTCGTTCATTTTCGGAACACAAATGAAGATATTTTTGATTAAATCTGAGAGCTGGATCACTCCTCCATAGGCTTCTTAAGGGATCGAAACTTGTCGGCCCAGAAAAGTTATGAAAGACATCGTTAAAATAGTCCGAGTGACTACAGTGGCTCAATCTTAAGTTTATCAAGCGACGAGAATACTTGTTGTGCGCAAAAAACAAACAAAAATAACGACTTCATTCAACTATTCATTTTATTCTGCGTGGGCCTCGAGTGAGTTCACGTAGTGTAACAGCGCAGCGCTTCTGTGTTGTACGTCACACAGGCTCACTATTGGCCGACGCTGGTCATGTGTGTGATGCGTGAGACTATGTGGTTACTTATTCTCGTCACTTGGTAAATTTAAGATTGAGCCACTGTAGTCACTTGGATTATTTTAAGTTTCGATCCCTTAGAAGCCTATGGAGGAGTGATCCAGCTCTCAGATTTAATCAAAAATATCTTAATTTGTGTTCCGAAGATGAACGAAAGTCTTACGGGGTTGGAACAACACGAGGGAGAGTAATTACTGACAGAATTTTCATTTTTGGGTAAACTATCCCTTTAATATTTTCAATCATACTCATCAGGTGAACAGACCGCTGACTATGAAGAAGGAAGGCATTCAGACACGCAACCGTAAAGTGTCCAGCAAGAGCAGAAAAGGGAAGAAGTTTAGCCCTCCAGAGGAGAATCTCTATTGGGATTTTTCGAAGAATCCTGCCTCTGATCAGTATTTCGACATGTATCCTCAGAGTCCTGGAGCTCTGGGGGTCTATAGTCATTCTTCCCATTCACTGCCGCCCACAGCTGCCTTCTACAGCCATGCCACCCTGCCCTACCCATACCACCCGTCGGCTGCCATCCTACCCAGCGTGATGTGAGAGGAACTGGACAAAAGACTATGTACAAAACACTCACAACTGCCCAGCCACCTGTTCAGATACTCATCATAAACATACTTGAAAACTTTACAGATGTGAATGCATGAAAAAGCATAAGGGCAATATACAGTTGCCCAAAAAATATTTGGACATTAAAGTCACAAATTGAATATTTAAAAATGTAATCGCATTTAGCCAAAATATCAAACCAGGTGGGATTTATTTTAAATAGACACACTTATCAAGTTAGAAAAGCATCATGACACCTTGTGTTTGTGAAGAATTAGTGGATCATTAAATTGAGCAAAAGTGACAGTAAAGACATTTTATAATGTTACAAAAGATTTCTATTTCAAATAAATGCTGTTCTTTTGAACGTTCTATATATCAAAGAATACTGAAATATATCATGGTTTCTATGAACATATTAAGCAGCACAACTGTTTTCAACATTGATAATACAGGTTGCGTACTGTAGGGGACAGGGCTTTTGCATCCTACGCTCCTAGGCTTCATCGCACAATCTCATTTAAAAACTTGTTTTTTTAGGTTAGCTCTTTTTCTCTCTATCCTGTATGTGTGTGTTGTATTTTCATTTGTTTGTTCTATTATGTAAAGTGCCTTGAGAAGCTGCTTTTAAAGGCGCTATATAAAAATAAAGTTGTTGTTCTTATTATTATTAATAATAATCGGAAATATTTCTCAGCAGCAAATCATCATATTAGAATGATTTCTGAAGGATCATGTGACACTGAAGACTGGAGTAATGATGCTGAAAATGCAGCTTTGCATCACAGGAATAAATGACATTTTACAATATATTCAAATAGAAAATAGTTATTTCAAACTGTAATAATATTTTTTGATCAAATACATGCAGCCTTGGTGAGCATAAGAGACTACTTTCTAAAACATTTAATAATCGTACTCGCCCCAAACATTTGTACAGTAGTTTATATTTAGACGACATTTATATTTTTCAGTGTTTGTAACCAGTTTTCTGTAACTTTCTTTTTTTTTAGCATTTGTAACTGTTTTTAAAGTGTTTTACAGAAAATAAATGTTTACAAATAAAAGTTTACATGAAGCACATTTTCTTTTTGCATTTTCTGTATTTGACAGCAGACAGCCGAACTCAATTGAGAACAGAGAACTTGAGAATTTCATTCAAAACAGAGTCTGCGTATCGACACGGCGAGGCTCCTTAACATCACGGCATCTTAACAGACGTTTGAATCTGACGGTGTGGTTTTTCTATGGCACCATTGTGAGCTCTGCAGCTTGGATGAATTAGCTCGTAGTGGGAGTTAGACAGTTACAATGTGCAATGACAGCACATGCAAATCCAGCACTTTCCATAGTACAGCGGCGCAGCTCTAAAATGATACAGTTTTCAGTGATGTCACACTCCATTTATCACATGAGCTGTTCAGTGTTGGAAAAACATACTTCAACAGTATTTGCTTATCATGTGAAACATGTCATCTTAAGTTTACCTTAATCATAGCTAGTCATAGCTTAGTTTTGCAAGTCAAAGGCAAATTGATAGATGTTCAACTTTCTTATTTCTCTCTGTAGAAATATTTGTGTGTGTGAATGATAAAAGTGCTTTTAAATTTTTTGTTTTGTACTTTTCTCTCTGTCTCTCTCTCTCTCCTTATCTCTGTCTCTCTGTCTCTCTGTAGGTTGATGTCTATATGGTGAAGCCAAATACAAATTTCCACCTTGAGCATAATAAAAGTAGTAGCCTAATAAAAGTAAATAACTCCTGGTAATCATGTCGCTTCCTAAACAGTACAGTATCGTTCTTAATATTCATTAAAACTACATTTCTGCCATGTCAACTCTCGGAGTGTCTGGCATGGTAATGGCGATGACGATGTTAATGTGTTTGGTCTTAGTGGAATAGATCTGCTGCGGCTGCAGAGCAAGTACAGGACTTAATATTGCCAATACACACTTGACACGCTGCTGTGTGCAAGACATGCTGCTATATGTACAATATAGGATACATGAATTACCCGTAGCAGATCTATGCAGGTGGAGCTGGGGAAGGTGGAGGGTTTCTGAAAGAGCACTGCACTGCTACACAAAATGCTGACCTAGTATTTGAAGGTTGAGCAGCGACCTCATTGGCTACTGATACAGCGGGAATCAATCAGCTGTGCCCTATAGAGAATGATGTGATTGCAAGCAGATTAAGGACCTATCAGCCTGCGCAGGCTAGAGTTTTATGCCCGTGCAAAACTCACTGCACAATGATCGGATGCTGTGTGAGGTTGAAATCATAACGCTGACCAACCTGTCATCAGATTGAGTGTCAAGAAAGGCCTACGATATTCACCCAAACACATGCACAATGTTTTCCCAGCCTCTTTGAGTTAATAAATTGGCATCACCGAGTGAATTATTCCATGCCGTTATGGAAAAACGGCTCAGTGGTGTGAAATATGGATTTGTGTCTCAGTTTTACTCTGGTTGGTGATGATATCTCAGATAGCGCCCCTCCCTCTCCTCCATCTGTTTCCATCTCTCACGGTTGACCACATAGCTCTGCTCCTTTGGCTTCTAGTGGAGCCTCATTGTGCAACGCAGGCGGCTTCTGGTTTTCCGGACTCTCTAAAAAAAAAAGTGCAGAAGGGAAAAGGAGATGCACAGAAGAAGGCTGCAAGCTTTTCAAGCCTGGTACACGAGGCACATCGTTCGCTTTTTTCTGTCATCGGCTTCCTCCATTCAGGGTGAAGCCGTGTTATCTGGTGGAGTCGGCACCATAGTGAGGGGGAAATGGTACTGAGTGACTCGGAGAGATTAGCAACCACAGGACAGGTCCAACCAACACGTACAGGCCTGTACGTTAGCGCTCACCAGCTCCGCTGCGCCCGCGCTTGCAAACTCTTTTCCATTCATGTAAACAGACTAGCAAAGACATTCACTGATTCACAGTCACACAATCACATCTTTAAATCTGATCTGCACAGGTCACAAGGTCAGAGCCCTCCTCTAGAAGAGCCTGACTAAACTGCCTGTGTGAAAACTGTTGATCACTTTATAAATAGTCTGTTGAATGCTAATTTTGTTTGGCATGAAATACAATTTTTGAAAAGAGCATTTTTGGACTGTCTGCTTAATATCTGATGACATTTTTTTTTTATTTTCCCTCAGCAGAAATTCCACTGACTATAAGTAACTTTGCAACTGCATGTCAACTTATTCTACTTACCCTAACCTAACAGTCTACTAATACTGTAATGAGAGTTAGGTGACGTGTAGTTGCAAAGTTGCTTATAGTCAGTAGAATGTCTAAAGTGGATCATCAAAATAAAGTGTAACCAAATGTTCCTGCAGGTATGATTAGTTTGTCATCGTTACACATTCCTTTTGATGGTCTCCACCAATGGGTCAAGAAACTGCTGGTTGACCCCATTGACCCCATAGTAAACGCGTCTCACTCCTTTGAAAGCCATTCAAACGTAACCGTGCATTCTGATGAAATATAACTTGAAATATTTAATTATTGTAGCTGTTTTATCAGTGCCGACTGTTTTATAGAGCACTGGTTATTATAGAGGGCCGCAGGATGATTTAAAAGTATTAAGATATACAAGATCAAGATGTAAAGGAAGATCATTTTATTGAAGAACATACAGTTTTAGTTTAATTCATTTAATATATCAATAATCCCCAAGTTTATGTTAATTAAAAAGTTTGACAACAAGCAGATTTGTCATAATTTCAGCAAAATGACTGAAAACAGCTTAGCAGGTGTTTTCAATTTTTTAAAGGCAATTATTTTTTTCACAGTCCACCTAGAACTCCCTTGAGGAACTCAGTTTGTAAACTCTTGCTTGGGATGCTTTGAATATTGTCTTATTGTGCAGTTTGGCCCCTCACCCCTTACATAAATTGAGAAAAAATAAAACAGAAAAAACAAATAGGCTAAATAAAAAAAAAAAAAAGAAACAGGGTCTACTGGTAAATTGTGTTCATATCTCTTTTTTTTTTTGTGGATAATTTAATGATAATGTAAAATCTCTTGTGCCAAGCGAAATAACAAATTTGTCGTTTCATAAACACATTTTCCTGTTAACGCTCGTTAAAAATGCAACAGTGACCTCCAGCGTTACAGCACAGACTACAGCGGGCACGCGCTACGCGTTTTTACTGACGTCATTTTAGTGCGCCTGCTCGTAGAAAAATAAGTGGGAAGAATGGCAGTTGAACTTGCCAAAAGATGAATCATGAAAGGAGCGGAGTTAAGCCGCTGTGTTTTAACTGTTTACATAGTTAAATCACATTCTCTATTTATTGAACCAAGTTTTGCAGGTCAATTATTCAGGTGAACACATCGACGAGATCAGCACTGTCAGGATGAACCGATCACAGTCGTTTGTGTTTACTGGAAATCATCATTTTATAGAGAGTGGTGTGAAGGATTTCCCTATAAACCACTTGATTTGAAATGACATGTTTTACGCTTATACGCTTAAATAAAAGTTAATGCTGCCAGTGAGACGTGCTGACACTGACAGTTGAATGTAACTCTACTGTCACATTCTGCTGTCTGAGTCTGAGCCTTCACGCGCCCCGTAGCGGAGGAACCGCTGTATGTCTCATTGAAAGTTCTTAGCGACATCTGCGCTTCTGCTGTGCAGAGTTGGGCGTGAGTTAGCTTTTAGCATATCCAAACAAGAACATTGTGCTTTCTTTCGTATCCACCTTAATGCATATTTAGCTTACAGTTGTTTTTGCTATGTGGTCCCCATTTTGCTACGTCCATTTTCCACTTTTATGTCCAATCCAGAGAATGACAACAGCCACGGAAACTTAAGAAAGCAAAAAGCTTGAGGCTCAAATGACTGGCAGCTCAGGTCGGGTTTTCCCTAAAATTTCAAAGTGTTTTTTGCCAACGACATAAAAATCTGACAACAGTTCTGTTCTTATCCTCTCATACACCTCACACATTTCTGAAAGCAGTAAGTAAAACCTGTTATGTATTCTTGTGACATCTGTCACTTTTTGACATTTTATAGGCGTTATTTTTAAGAAAGAAAATGACATGGTCTGTTTTGCTCATCTCATTAAATATTTTGATCTTGATATTGA